ATAAAGATTGACTTGTAAATTTAAATTGCTACATTTTGATACTTAAATGAACAGTATAGGGTCAGGAACACAAACATATATTCCTGACCCTATAGTGTTAAAACCACAATCTGGCCCTCCCTAAATATATTAAAACCGTACTTGTATTCAGATCTACAGCTGCTGCCTCTGCCCCTGATGTGCCTGCTTGGCTGACATCATCAGAAGTGGTAATCTGAGCCAATCACAATGCTTCCCCATGGAATTGGCTGAGACTGTCAATAAGGGAGATCAGGGGCAGAGCCAGCACAAATCAAACACAGCCCTGGCCAATCAGCATCTCCTCATAAAAATGCATTGAATCAATACATCTCTTTGAGTAAAGTTCAGTGTCTCCATGCAGAGGGTGGAGACCCTAAATGGCAGTGCTGCACACTGGGCAGCACTGTCCCAGGAAGCACCTCTAGTAGCCATCTTACGAGTGGCCACTGGAGTTATCACTCGGTTGTAATGTAAACACTGCATTTTCTCTGAAAAGACAGTGTTTGCCGCAAAAAGGCTAAAGGAAATTATTCTACTCACCAGAACAAATACAATAAACTGTCATTGTTCTGGTGACTATAGTGTCCCTTTAGGAGTGAAAATACACACGTTACTTCTTGTTCTTTTCTTGCATTCTATTAGCTCGAATTATGAATTATTAGTATGGGCCTTTAAAGTACCAGATAGGGAACCTCTTTTTGAGGATTTTTACAGTTCTTTCACTATATTGTTTATTACTTGGAGTACATGCCCTGGATAGCCTAATACTACCCTTACTGACAATCGTTGTCTTTTTACTTGTTTTGTTTTATAGTGTTGTAGTGGTTTTACTGCACTGATCGTTGGGATTTTCTGTTCAAAGTTTACCTGAACAACTCATCTGTGTTTTGATTATGTTGTTATTGATCATATCCTAAAAGACACCTGCTATGCATTTTCCTGTTCTGCATTTGCCCAGGAAAGTTTAGAACCATGCATGGTCTCATCTTCATTATGTTAAATATTGTCATTCCTTTCTTTTCTTGTTCTACTGTTACTTATGGTGCTTAATAATTATTGGAAACAAATGAGATGGCAGTCACCAACTGCATCGGTAAAATAGTTTTGGAGACTACAGGATCGGGTGGCATTCCTAGTGTAAATGATGCAAATAAGATCTGTCCCACAAACTTTTAAATCTGTAATTTCTCTAGACACAAACCAGCAACGTTTGAACCTTTTCACAGCGACAATGAGGGCTTATCTCAAGCTGTCCCAAGGCTTGGGAAATGCCTTATTTATATTGAAATGTTACTGTTGTGTTCATAATAAAATTGCTGTTTTGGGAGTTTGTGATTATCAGATCTTTTTTTTTGCAACAATTTATACACAGTCAATGTGACTAATACTCCCTGGCCACACTAGGTCCTATTATTTCCCTGTTACGTACCATATTTAAAATGTTATTCCTTTGGCACACAATCATTGTGTTTCTTTGGGAAAGTTTAAGTATTCAGTAGAACAGATTACAGGTCTATAAAAGTGGCACTTCCACCATATCCACAAGGGGGCAGGCCCAGCAAGTAAAGTCCAAACACGTCATCACCCAATTTAGCTGTATTCTATATGTTTTATCTCACGCTCTTTCTCTTACATTCTATTGACACTGAATTTCAGAATCAGTTGATTCTAGTGCAAATGTATGCAAGCATACCTTCCAACAGTCCTGGATTTGATGTAATAGTCCTGAATGTAGGCTTCTGTCCCATCATTCCAGGTTGCCTGTCTGGTATCTCAAATCTTCTAGCCCTCGGCTCATCGGCTGCTCTCATTGGGTGTGGCCAGCGCTGGGGCTAGAGATTGTGCATGAATATAGGCCCCTTTTTTCAGATCGTCTTTATCCTTTGTTCATAAACCATTTCCAGTCCCATGCCAGTTCCATACCTCCCAAATTTGTAAGGCATGCGATGAAGGGTTTCTAGAGACATCATAACGTGCCATTGGACCAAAAGTTATTATGATGTTCTTTATATTAAACATATTATTGCTATTCAGGGGTGTTCACAAAAGTGTGAATTGTTGGGAATTCAAAGTGAATTAAATAACTATTTGAAATCTTTGGTCAAATGGAAAACATACCTGGCTGCCATTTTATTCAGTTTCACTAATTTGGCTAATCTTAAGATCCATTTGAATTCAGAGCGATTTTCAAATTGGTAAATAACCCTGACAATTACAATGCAATTCACTAAACTACTAGTTCACTGGCGTCCATGATCTATGTAATGGGATGTTCTTCTAATTAAATACAAGTGTAAATCTTAAATAAAGAATAAGATATACTTAAAAAAAAATAAAGCAAATTCTACATAATATTATACTCAGTGTTGGATGACATATAGAGAGGTGCCCACCATTTTGGTGTGGCCTTTCAAATGAAATAGATTGTGAAAGTCCGTGAACTAGTAGAATTAACCTAGTTGAAAAATGTAAAGTTCCTATGTATTTATGCTGATATAAATTAATATTCCTGTTGAACTGCGTGGATGAGTACAATCATTTAACAGATGGCAAATGAGCCCCCCTCCCATGGGCGAACCAATTGGAAACCAAGATAAGATATTTATTTTTTGACAATCTTTATTTTTTATTCATTTCAGTACATTTTATTAAACAGAGGTATGAGACCAAAAGAGGATTATTATATCCATGAAAGTTACAATTAGAGCCGGAAGATAGGATATTTAAATGGCAGCGGGCTGCCGTTCTTAAAGGACCACTATAGCCACCCAGACCACTTCAGCTTAATGAAGTGGTCTGGGTGCCAGGTCCAGCTAGGGTTAACCCTTTTCTTTATAAACATAGCAGTTTCAAAGAAACTGCTATGTTTATGTTAGGGTTAATCCAGCCTCTAGTGGCTGTCTCATTGACAGCCACTAGAGGCGCTTGCGTGCTTCTCACTGTGATTTTCACAGTGAGAAGACGCCAGCGTCCATAGGAAAGCATTGAGAATGTTTTCCTATGGACTGGCTGAATGCGCGTGCAGCTCCTGCCACACATGCGCATTCAGCTGAAGAGGAGGAGAAGAGGCGGAGAGAAGGAGGAGAGCTCCCCGCCTGGCGCTGGAGAAAAGGTAAGTTTAACCGCTTCCTCCCCCCACAGCCAGGCGGGAGGGGGACCCTGAGGGTGGGGGCACCCTCAGGGCACTATAGTGCCAGGAAAATGAGTATGTGTTCCTGGCACTATAGTGGTCCTTTAATATTGCCTTGAGAAAGTTGTTGTAGCAATGAAACTGGTCAGCATTAAGACATTAAAGTGGCACTGTCACCACCCTGAAAAAAGTTTCAGAAAGATAAAATCCTTATGAACTGCTTATTTTAATTTTGCTGGAATTTCACTGAAATTCCAACTAAGTCAAGAGATATCATCAGGGAGGTCCTGAGGTCATCTGGGTGCTGTGGTAAGTGTTTGGGATGCTATCTGAGGGCCGAGCAAGTGCTGGGGATCAGAGGTGGCTCTCTAATTAGGCTATTCAGGTGGCCGCCTAAGGCCTCGCGCTGTCTGGGGCCTATGACCGAAAGCCTGACGCAGGAGGGGGCTTGGCGGCTTGCCCATAATGCCGCTGAGTGTGAGGACCCTCCTGTCAGTCTGTCCTGATGGTGAGCCAGCCTCCAGTCTGCAGGTCCGCCAGAAGTGAGCTGCAGACTGAGGTGTCTCGCCATCTCCAGCCCGCCAGAGCATTGCCATGGGTTACTACAGCAACGCTCTGACTGTAGATTGTGAGACTTACCATGTGGTCTGCAGGTGTGCACCCGGCGGAGCTGCAGACCCGAGAGAGAGAGGGCACCCGCCAGACCACCAGGGGAATCCACCGGACCACCAGTGAATCGTTTTAATAATAATAATTTTTTAAAAAGGTATTTATGAACCCCCTCTACCCACTGTCATTGCTCCTCCACCCCTCTTCCCCCTGTCACTGCTCCTCTACCTCCTGTCACTGCCCCTCCACCCCCTCACTGCTCCTCCACCCCACCTAGTCACAGTCCCCCTGTACCCTGTCACAGTCCGTCCACCCTCTCACAGCCCCCCCACCGTCTCACCCCCCACCTGTCACAGCCCCTCCAATCGTCACAGCCCCGCCAACCTGTCACAGACCCCCTACCCTGTCACCATCCTCCTTACCCTGTCACAGCCCCCCTTACTGGCAGTGGGATGACAGCACCCCCACCCTGTCACCCTCCACACACACACACACACACACACACACCCTGTCACCCCTCTATACACACAAACCTGCCCCCCATACACACACACACCCTGTCACAGCCACCCTCCACACACCCTGTAACCCCCACACACACCCTGTCACAGCCCCCCTCCACACACCACTTTACCCCACGCACACACTGTCCCCCACACATGCACACACTGTCACCACATACACCATTCCCAAACACTTTCAGCTCCAACACACTGTCACCCCCTTCACCCAGCCACACTCACATTAAATCCTCCTAATCCTGTCACTGGCCATCACAGTCACCTGATGTGAACCTCATAGAAAATATGGGGTGGGTTTTAAAGAAAGCAGTTGCAGCACGCAAACCCAATATTATTGTACTGGAGGCCATTGCTCACGAGCAACGGGCTGAGTTCACAGAAACGCTGCGAGACGCTGGTGTCTGGCTATGCATCTTGTTTGCAGCAGGTGATAGCAGGTCAGCAAAAGGGTGCTCTGCTTAGTACTGAAGATGATTGCCAGAAAGGGTTGAAGAATTTTGAGACTGGAGAAGTCATTACAAGTTGCATTTGCAGTTGAATTTGAGGCAACCACTTGAAGCATGTGCTGTGTTGAGCTATTTCAATTGCTTTTGTTTGATTTGTCCATGCCAAACAGCTGAAAATCTGTACATTTTGACAATAAACCTGATTTTCAATGGGGGTTGAATAATTTTAATAACAACTGTATATCCTAGATCAGGGGTCCTCAAACTCCGGCCCCCCAGATGTTGCTGAACTACAACTCCCACGATTCTCTGATTATCTATGTAATTCAAAGAATCATGGGAGTTGTAGTTCAGCAACATCTGGGGGTCTGGAGTTTGAGGACCCCTGTCCTAGATTGTAAGCTCACTTGTACAGGGCTTTCTTTACCTGTTCTTACGTCAACATTTTTATGTTTGTAAATTGTTGTTTTATGGTTCAGTCCAAAAGCTGTTTTAGGAGTATGTTACTGCTAGAATACAGTGAACACAATATAACGAAACAGGGAGAACACAGCATGCAACTTACATTACTGATCCTTCAATCATTCATTGTGAATGAGTAGTTCGTGGGATTCTATATGCAGGGGGGTGTGAGAGATGCACTTGTAAGAATATTTAATATTATGGAAAATATTTAAATTTTGTAACATTTTCATATATTGATATTTTTATATAGGATATATTTTTTCACATTTTAATATGTTTAAAAAAATAATTGTATACGTTTTATTGCATTTAAAAAAATAAATATTTAAATGCTTACTTATCAACATTAATTTGGAGCCATAGGTAGCTACTTTTTCTGACCAGCAATTTTAGACTAAAATATAAATTCACTTTTTTTTCAACAATTTGCACTTTGATTAACCCTGTGAAAGTCATGAAAGTGAAACTTGCACTTTACTCACTTGCATTATTTAAAACATATGGAATTAATTGAAGAAATGTGTTGTTGCAGGAAGTTTCCCATGAATGGAAAACATTATCACAATGCATACTACTATAGTATGTATGTCATGAAAAGAGAAGGGGCATAGGCAGAAACTGGTGTGAGTTTAAATCAATCTCAATGATGGGGAGGTAGGAATGGAGGAGGGAGGTGTATTTAAAGAGACTCTTTGCACAGTGGGGGATGTGTGGGACTCAATCACCCCCAACTGAACTTAAACAAAAGATTTTTCCATTCACAGTCAGTACCAACACTTTCTAGGAATTTATAGCCCTATTTCTCACTAAAAACTACAGACCACATTACTATGAATTTTTTTCTAAATTCTTTATAAGGAATTATTTATAAAGTCAAATCAGATCTTTATGAATATACATAAGCTGCTTTTTAAAAATAATTTTTGTTATGTATATTTTTATTATTATTAGTAAAAGTACTGAGGTTCATTCTTAATTTTTTTTAATCATTTGTACCTTTAAAAAAATAATAATATGAGAATAGATTTTTTTTTCAAGAGTACATTTTAGTAATTATAGACAAAGCTACATCTGAAAGTCAGATTTCTTTGGACTGTAGTTTCAATCATGTACAGGCACAGTTATGCACAGTATATTGCAGGGAATGAAATCCGATTGACAAAACTGAGGTTAAAAAAATCCGATTTAGAGACATTCTACCACTCAGTTATTAACCAAAGTGGAAAATTCTAAGTAAATTCATAGTGATTTTCAAATTTAAAGTCAGAATAGATGAACTGGAAAAGTTCTCTAAGTCAGCTATGCTTTTAGTTCGGCTACTCTGGCCTTAATTTTAAATTCTGGGATCTACCTTTTGGGCACCTCTGCACTAAAAGTCTGCTATTTCAGCCAGATGGTCTGAGAAGACCATCTGATTGGCACATTGCAGCTTTTTGCTACCCATGCGCCTTAGCCTCCCAATATTGTGTTGGCTTGATGCGCTCAGCCAAGGAAGCAGGTATAGAACAGCGTGGAAACAAGGCAAGATAACTCTCGAGGACTTAACTTTTAGCACTCGTGGGGTATGGGGTGGTCACCTTAATACTCATTTGTAGTCCTAAAGCTACAGTGTTCCTTTAAATATTGATAAAACTCTCACCAGACTCATACATACATATACAAACTTATGTCACTCAAGTTGATGAGCTCTATAACTCCCATCATGCACAATCACTCCCTTGCTTTCCAACTACTGCACTTCAGTCTACGAGAGCTGCAATTTATATTAAATTCGTTTTTATTGAGACAATTTTAGAAACCGTGTTCTCTCGCAGGGGATGTAGTACATATACAGTTACCCATATATTAAACAGTTATGGCAAAGCATTGATATACTGATGTTCGCCTATGCAGAGGCTAAATATGCGTTATCTCTAACATAACGGTCAACAAGGCAAACAGGTTTCCCACGCAGGGGACGTATCATAGGCCGTGCAGGAAATTTAAGGGTATGGTTTCAACTTTGGTGTTAGATCAGTGGTTATGGTATAGAGCATAAACCAAAATTCGCACACTGGGGAGGCAATGCACATTTAGGGAGCAGTATAGGGTCCATTATTGGTATAGCTTTGGTACCTCGATATTTGCCTGCGCAGAGGCATAGTATATTCTAAATCCATGGTTGTTATGATTGATCTGTTAGCCCCGCAGGGCTGCAATTTGTAACAAGCTCAGCCAGCAAGCATATTACAAATAAAAGGGTTTATATACTAAGCACAACATTTTTAAAGAGTTTGAAAACAAACCTGGAAAATTAGGTCAAAATAATTAACTTGGAGAAAATAAAATCCCAGATTGTGAAATCACAACAAGTCACTGTATAAAATAATAAACCTTTAGGTGTAATAAATAAAGTACATGACTTGTACATCCAAAGATAAATCTGACTATCAGCTTGGAAGTCAAGAAGGATTCCCCCACCCCAAATCGTGAATGGGTTAAAAGGTTTGGATGATAATGCACTTGTTTTACCAAAGGGAATGAGAAATCACTTTGATGAGACATAAACCACAGTATTAGGTTTATTATGCGTGTGATCATTCAGTAAACAAGCTACAGAATAAGTGAATCCAATATTTACATATAGGTATTAGTCTGACAATACAAAGTGTGGTTTATTTACAAATCCTGCCTCAAACAGAATTTAATGTATCGTTGCATGGAATGCAGGCTGATCCAGTGCCATATTGCAGCTCCCTTTCCTTCCTGAGATGTATCTCTCTGTTTCTATAATTCAGCTGTTGTTATTTTTTAACCAGAGCTGAACGTTGACCTAGTTTTGTGTGAGAGCCTCCTGCTCACCCTTCTTCAAATCCCATGTGCTGTGTCCGGATCAATAAAGCTCGTTGAGAAAAAAAAAAAGATAAAAAAAAAAAAAAAAAAAAGCCAGTCACACATAGAGAAGCACAGAGGGCTGGGAGGGCTTAGATGTGTTTGAGACACCAAGGCTGTGGGATTCTGCCTGGCTCTTGCAAGGGATTATCAGCAAACTGGAGACTTCAACTGGATCCTGAACCTCATGAGAACTGCAAATAAGAAACTGGGGGATATCTGGCAGTCTGTTTAGGAACTCACTCACTAGCTGAGTGTTACTCTCAGCAAGCTTGTTGTGAGCCAAGTTCTTGGAACTCTAGGACCTGTCAGCAATGAATGAGGGTTTGGTCACTGGCTTTTGCTGTATTGCATATTTTAATATACAACAATAAGATGCTTTGCAGGTGCAAATAAGGGGAGGTTTATTTGTCACCCCCCCCAAAAAAAAAAAACCAAAAACCTCCAGCTTTTATCCTTGAAGACCATGGCCAAGCAGGTCCTGAGCCAAGGAGGATCTGCAGAAGATCTGAGCAAGCTTTCAGATGAGGAGCTTATGAGGTGGAGCAAGGAGGACATTGTGAAGAGGCTGAGAAAAGTGGAGACTGAGAAGATAAATCTGATGGTGGAGCATGGGAACCTGATGAAGGATGTGAACAGGAGGCTGCAGGTCCACCTGCATGAGATCAGGGGATTGAAGGAGGTCAACCAGAAACTTCAGGATGATAACCAGGAGTTGAGGGAGCTGTGCTGTTTTTTGGATGATGACAGGCAGAAAGGCAAGAAACTGGCTAGGGAATGGCAGAGGTTTGGGAGGCACACTGCCAGTGTCATGTGGAAAGAGGTCGGGGCTTACCAGCAGAAGCTCAAGGAGCTGGAACTAAAGCAGGAGTCCCTCGTGAGAGACAATCTGGAACTCAAGGAGATAGTTATCATGATGGATGAGGAGAGGAACGGTGCTGGGTCCAGAAGCTCCATTGATAGTCAAACCAGTTTGACTAATTTGAATGGGGGGTCTGGCACTAGAGATGTAGGAGATGGAAGTAGCACATCCAGCACGGGCAGTGCAGGAAGCCCTGACCATCACCACCACCACATCCCTCACTCTAAACCACTGGAGAACAAAGCTGGCACTATCAGGAGGTCTGCAGATGACTTGACCACCCAACCTCACCACAGGAGTATCCCTAATGGTCTTAATGGTGAGTCTATCCTGCTCCTTTTCCAATCACTCTTTTAGGCTTGTTACCCTGGTAATCAGAGTTGTAACTTCTCAGGAACAAAATAACGCTGTCGTTAAGATACCATGCGGGGTAGATGGGAGATCAGTTGTACTAAATGTTTTTAAATAAATAAATGTGTATGTATATATTTATTTTAACGGTATTATTGTTGTAGCCTGGAGGAAAAAAAATGTTTATTTAAAAATAAACAAAAGCAGGAAGATGTTGCATTTGAAAGTGACAGCATGTACATTTTTGTTGTGTTTAATTAGCATAACCTAACCTCCTTAAATGCATGGGGTTTTTTTGTTTTTATTGGGCAAGGTTTAGTATATAGGTCAATTTATTTGTACAGCACTGATGAATATTTTGTCTTTTTGTGTGTAAATGCACAATTTCTAACCGTACAGAGGAAATTCTTATAAATGTGTTCTAATGGACATAGCATTAATATCTGTTGGTTTCTATAGCAATTACTTAATTATATTACTCCATTTTCCACACACCTGACAATCCTCCATGTTGTAAGTATGTACTATGTTTTGTGTATGTGGTGTCACATTATCTACCTGTCATGTATTAAATCTGGGTTTGCCTGGAAAACCAAGAGCGTTTCGGAATTCAGGAGTTTGAATTGTGATAATTCATTGGAAGGGTTAATGTATAAGGAATTTATAATTTGAAAAGTTGGGAAAGTGGAGCGGTTGCCATGGAAATCAATGAAATGTTACTGCTGATTGATCCAACTTTTGCCTCCAGAATTGCTCTCAATAAATAATTACAATTTATTTATATAGCGCCAACATATTCTGCAGCGCTGTACAAAACATGATTGACATACTGGAACAGTTGGTAAATGGGGCCCTGCCCCAACAAGCTTGCAATCTAAAACCTCCGTCCCGACTATAAAGGAAGGGGTTCTCAGTGATTTTCAAATTTAAGGCTAAAATAGCGAAACTGGAAAAGTCAGCTGTGCATCTAGTTCGGCTACTATGGACTTAAATCCCCGACAATATTCACTTTAGTGAATAAATCGGTTTTATTTGATGTAACAGGATGGAGTAGACTCCTTTTGCTGTCTGAAGGTAGCTTAACAGTTGCTTCTGTACTATAAATCCCCAAATCATTAGTCGGATCATGGCAGGTCAAATACTGGCTGATTGTCATGGGAGTTACCATTTTTAAAACGTAACTGTTGCTTATTCCTATGCAAAGGCAACAGTTTTAGTAAATGTTCTGTTTAAAGATATCCCATACTGTAATCAAAGACTTCATACATTTCTGTATTTGCAACTTCTGCTGGGCATCTCTCCAATGGATGTACTACTCCTGCTGCACTGTAGTGAAATGCATTCTCTCTTTACCCATTAGATTACCACCTGAAAACTCCAGATCATGGCACCTTGTTGGAACTTTAAAAAAAAATAAATCAATATTTGCACAAACAAAAGTCTGCTTGCAGATTCTAAAACCAGTTGTGGATACAGGGGAGGGTGTTCCAGCAAAGGTGGTAGAGGCTTTTAATTAACCATAAAGGAATTACCTGGGATTGGCATAAGGCTGATCTGGCTCAGATATGCAGAGTGGCTTTTCTATGCTGTCAAATATCCATCTATATTCTGTCCTCCTGAGATTTAGAGGGTTCCCCCCCCCCTTCTTTTTTGGGAGGGTCATGTATAAAATCTTTGTTGAAGCACAGTTTTCCCATCTCCTGTCTGATCGTGTGGATTTTTTTTCAGAGGTAATTAGACAAGCTCATAAAACATTAAGTATTCATTCAGAAATACTTGATGTATATTAAAATTCAAGCAGATTTAGTGCCATGCAAAACATAATACACAAACCAGATTTGTATGGAAGAACATTATTATTCTTGTCTTCTGTGTGTAAACTTTTTGTTGCATTGTTTAAGATCATATATGCTTCAGCTATTGTGTATTAACACAAAACTCAGAATCGTAGCCAGTAAATGCTTATTACAGCCGACTTTGATAATTTTTCCAGAATTGCAATTTTTGCCTAAATATTGACATTATTTAAATTACTACATACTACAGTTTAGTGAATATCCCAGTATGCGATTTGTGATTTTTAATTTTATTATTTTTATCCAGGGTTAATGGAAAGATTTTTTTTTTTCCGATGAATGAATGGGTTTTCAGAGTATACAGTAAAAAAAAAAATAATTGTGTCGTAAACGTGAGTAAAAAATGTATGCTATCAGAGAGGTGCTGTTTATAGCGTATATGTAAGGATTTACCAAACTTTCAATTGTAGTGGATTGAAAAGTGAACAACAATTTTTGGGCAGGATTGACCAAGCTGCAACTATCAATGAGTATTAGAGTTAAAACACTGTGTGTTTGTATTTGCTCTCACATTACACATCTATGTTACATTGCTGCTTTCCACTCCATGTGTACCCATGTGCTACCCCTTACTTTCTCGCTAGAGATATTGCAATTAGGTGAAAGTGACAGTGTGAATTGTTGGCCTAGGACCATGATGTTGGCAGGTGAGCTGCTAAATTTGCACAGGGATTTTGGAGAGTGTATGGGGAAACCTGCTTCCCCTAATCTATTTGCCCTACATTTTTACAATTCTGTTTCAATTTCCCTTTTTAGTGCATAAAACTCAGTGTTAAGGGTTAGGGTACCCCCAACCTCCATTATAATGCTTTGGGTTGGAGACAATTTGCCTGTTTGTAGTTAGAGGGTGAAAGCTACTGCCATGTCTCAGGCTCTTGGAGATAATGGGCAGATTCTCATGCTGTTGGAGTGAATTGACAGATTTGCGGGATGAATGGTCAGGGTCTCTGGGTAAATGGGCTGATTTCCATGACTTTAGGGCAAATGGACACAACAGCGTGTCTGGATGAATGGGGTAGGTTCTTGGGGTGACTGGGCAGACTCTCCAACTCAGTCCTGACACAATTTCTCCATTGACTTAAAGGAACACTCAAGCACCACAACCACTGTAGTGATTGTGGTGCTAGGAGTGCCCTGTCTATGGTTCAAGGATCTTACACTAAGCACAGTTCCAAAGGTTGTATGATTAATAATTAACCCTTGCCATTGTTTATAATGCCTGCATGCTGTATCTGCTGGTAAGGTGATAATTCTATAGGTAGGATTCAAACTTCCGTTGTAGTGACAGAGGTCACGTACACTGTACTACTTATTTTTTGTAGAGGAGGTAGTTCCCTTTGCTGGATTTAGTTATCGAAGGTGCGCTGTGTGACAGAATGGGTGGAACTGCATCTTTTAAAGTTGTGGAGTACAGGGTTAATTTACTGGAGGTTATGTTTGAGGGTCACATGACAAGCTGGGGTGAATAGTTTTCCAGGAAACACCATGCACCAGCCTATAGGACATCATAGGAGAGCTTGGGGTTGTACATGTATAATATGCAGGTGCAATGCATGGAATCCAGCTAGTCCAGTTGGGAATAAATACCTTTATTGTAATCGATCCCCCATGCATTGCTTTCTGTACTGTAACCACCAGATTTGTGTGTAAGCCAAGATTAACACTTTGTGGCCTGGAGGGGAGATGCCAGAGTAAAGATTTAGTGTGTTGGAGCCAGGGTTAGCCCCATATGGAAGGAGATGAAAACCAGAGGGCAATTTTAGGACCTGAGGGATAAGCAAAAAAATCTGATCTTTTGAGGGCTGGGGGGATGAGGGGTATATGCTATTGTGATTTAAAAAAAAACAATAACAAAGTATTCTGTGTAAAATAGGCGCTTAAGTACAAGTGAATAAAACAGTAAAAAGAAAAAAAATGCAGATTCTACACTAATGTAAATCTCTCCCTGACGACTCACAATCAATCCTGAAAAAGGTATACGGAGTGTCTTAAACTACCACCAAGTGCATATAGTAGAGCGCTAAAAAGCATACTTACCCTTACACAAAAGGGGGTGTGGTAAACAGCAAAGACTAAACAAAAAAAAAAGGAACCATATGGTGCAAACTAGTCTATAGGTAAGTATATTAATCCACTATATTAACTCCTGTCATGGCTGGACCTATGACAAGAGTCTAGGTTAACGCTCTGAGGGGAAAATGGGGACAGCTGGCGACTATGGGTTTAGCCCTTTAAAGCTCAAGGGATATGGGCACAGCCTGTTAACCCTTTTGAGACATGAGCATAAAGATTTGATTAATCGATTGAGATACTGAGAGATGAGAGAACATAAATGGCTTAGTACAGGGCTTAATGGGTGAACATAATGCTAGGGCTAATCATTTGTAAAGGGTTGTTACATTTTGTTAAGGCAAAGCAGAGACTTCTTATTAATATGAATTTCTTCCGGCCTATCTTGGGCCATCCGGAGGTCCTGTTTAATTGAAAAATCTGTTATAGTTGCTATCAATGGATCCGGGTTATCAGGAAATATATTCTCAGCTGTTGTAGACCTACAACACCCATGATGCTTTAATGTCCTTAATATCAGGAATCATGGGAGGTGTAGTTCTGCAACAGCTGCCAAACCATGACAAGTCTTTAGGTTTAGGTTTAGTGGTTAGTAGGATGTGCTTTCACCCCACACACACACACACACCCCCCTTTTTCATTTTATTTATTTTTTTATGCTACTTTCTAGAGAGGGATGCAATTGTAACCTATTCTACCCCGAAGGATGAGTTTTTTTTTTTTTTTGTTTTTTTTTGTCTTTGGTTTTTTAATTTATTTTTATTTATTTTTTTATTTGGGGGCCGTTTTGATCATTTTGGATGGGAGTTTACCGTAAGACCGAAGGAAATGAAAAGTGTAGAGGAAATTACTTTCACCAGAATGCTTGTCATGAGATTTCAAATATCTTGCATCGCTTCAAGGAATGAAATATTTTACATAGGTACATGAATGAAATTTGTCATAGATCCGACTTGCTAAAAGGAATTCCAATATAAGGGGAAACTTTTTTGTAGAGCAAACAGATGTGTTTTATTATATACAACTTTAACCTGTCACGTGCCAAAGTGCTGTCCTATCAGTTGCATTCCTGCGCGTAAACTAATGGGGACCATGTTTAACTTCACTGTTCTGGGTGTATGGGATCCCTTGTCTTCTGAATTGAAAGGATTAATAATGTGTCTTATTTGAAATAGTGTGGAAACCTAAAATAAGATTGAGATAAAACAAAAAAATAAATCCTAAAAGGGTACCCCACTCCTTCATTCGTTTTTTATCCTGTTTTTATCTTATTTCTTTCATTAAACCTTTCTGTTGACTTCTCTACCCAGTCTTTCCTATGTAATTTTGTTGGGCATGTTGTAGTTATTCAGATTACATTGCTTGTTTAATACAGGTTCTGTGCCATCTGATTTTTAATTTTTTTTTTTTATTTGATTTTATATCTGATTTTTTTTTTAATTATGTTTTGTATCTGTGCTCCTTGTCTATTCCTATGTCTGATTCATTCTGCTAAAACTTGTGAAAACTTTAATAAACACTTTAATTACAAGGTATACATCTTCTAAAGGGAAACTGTCACATCACTGTTTATTTTATCTTAGGTTTACTTAACTTTTTATTTTACAAATCTGTTTCAGAGAAGTCTGAAAAATAAAATTTACTCCAACCCACTGTAGTGGTTACGATGTTATGAGTATCCTGACCCTGTTTCCCAGTAGTGGGGCAAAGCATTTTGCAATGACTTGCCATCTTACCTGGGCCCCCAATTGCCACTGACACCTGACTTCTGTAGAGTTGCAGAAACCAGAAGTCGATCATGCTGGCCATCCAGTAAATGATAGGGTCAGCTGACCATTCTTAGCCAATTAATGCATTTCAGCACATGCAAATATGCACAGAATTGACATTGTCCCAGGCTGGCTAACGATTCCCCTATGACGCTCCCAGAGGTGGAGTTACACTTTTGGCAAAAAAGTTATGTATGTGCAGCGTTTCAGAGTGGAGTAACTTTTTTTTTTTAAATGTTGAAATTGCTGTATTTATCCTCAGCTGCCTCCATCTCGGCTCTCTTTTTGTTATTATAAATCCTGCCTTTTTCTATCATTGAACATGGTATAGTGAGGTGGAGCGAAGATAAACCAACAATGTTTTGGTGGCTTTTTTTTTTTTCCCTCCCTCCGATGCATTGTTTGCACTGGCTGTGCCTGAACTAAACCGGATTCTGATTTCAACTGCTAAATCTTCAATGTACATTTAAAAGCTAGCGGGGCATCACTTGAATAAAAGGTTGACAGAAGTTTTATATGATATTCAGTGTATTTTCTATAAAAAAAAGTGCCAATTCCCTTTCCTTCTCTTTACACTCTTGGGGTAACATAAATGGCAAGATATACTTGTGATAGAAAATCAACTTGACTTAAAGTTGAAGAGCCGACAGCTCAATGTACAAAAGCTTTTGAACTTGTCATTCCTGGAAGGTTGAAATGCAGATTATAGCACAGCCCACAATCATTTCGGATTCTTTAGAGAGTTGTCCTTATAGAAAAAGGGAAAGCAAAACTATTTGGCACCAGTTGGCTGTGAGTAAGCACAGGCCGAAGGTCGGCTAGCAACTTTGCCACCCTAAGGCTGTTAACCCTTTAGTACAATCAGGGAATTATCGGTGCTTTGAAACCCAAAAAGGCTTGAGCAGCATAAAACTATCTCCCCATAACTTCACATCACATGGATGCCAAGATCAATTTGTCAGCAGATCCATAATATTTTATTAATGAAAATATCTGATTGCTATGCACAGTGGCAAATGTATAACTCAAAGTAAATATTTGTATTTGTTTATTGTTCGATATCGTGGGTTTTTTTTAAGATGGAAGCTGGTTTTTAATTTTTTATTTATTTTGTAAAAATTTTTTTTTTTTTAATTTTTTTTTTGTGAGTTAGCATAGTGGACTAAAATTCCATTGACTTATTCAAATGCTGCAACATCCCTGACATTAACCCCTTAAGGAACAAACTTACAAACTTACAAACTGGAATAAAAGGTATCCCCTTCAGGGGTTAAAATGGTTAATACTAAAATGTATCTACTGGTAACGACATGATGTTGGCTGCTATCCTGTATATGTTACTGGCATCCTGTTACGTGTCTCCATGCAGACATATTAATTATGGTTTTGTATTTAGACAGGAGTTAATCCTGAATTAGGCCTCTCTGCTCTCACTGGCGTCGGATCTCTTATAAGTAACGCTCCTCGGCATGCAGTGAGGACTTTAATATCAATGTTGTGTGATTCGTAATGTGTTCTGTTGAAGAGGGCTTGTTGCAAAGTACTGACAGCAAACTGTCGCTAGTAATTTTCATTACTTTACTCTAACACACATGTGCTCTTGGGTAGCTCCGGGGGATAGTTTTGTTTTAATAATGAGTGTGTCACCATGGTAACACTGAGGTTTTTCACAGTGCTATGTATTCCCATATAAAATGACTTTGTCACCTTGAGTTGTAACTACAGATGTTTTAAAAATGTACATCAAATTTAGATCAAAAGAAATTTGTTTTTACTTCTCACAATTTTAAGAAAATGTTGCAGTAAATCGATCGATTATCAATTTTTTAAATCGGGGAGCTAAGAGGCTTACTTTTTGGCCAACCCAATTTTCCATTTTTAAAGTATATCTCTACAGATATCCAGTCAGTTTACCTAACTCCCTGGGCTGTATTTTTAAGTAACAAGTTTGACTCTCCCTGACATAAATCATTCCCTCCGTTATACTTAAATAAAAACTCTTGGCACATTCATTCCGTGCAGTGGTGACCCATATCTACTTCCCAGAGCACGTAATATTATGCTCTGAGCGTGTCGGAGAACACTACACACATTCCCTTTGGGATTTTTATTGATCTCATTTACAGCTCCATCATACTAATCCCAATCTTTAACCTGGTTTATCCATAAGCGCCAGTAGATTAAAACATTTTTTTTTAATTTTTTTTTTTATAGTGATTCAATTCTTTTGACTGTTTTTAAACAGTTAATCAGGTCGTGGAAAATGGCTGGATCTATGATATAGAGTTTTTACTTCTGCTATATCTGAAGTGTTGCTGTGCACTTAAAAGCTTTGGTGTTTAACGCCTTCTCAGATAGTACATTTTGTGGATGGTGGGGAGGCAATCCTTAAATGTGGAGTCCGTAGCAGGGAGTTGGGGGAACTGTATCTCCCCTCTGTCGTGCTATTCTCTATATTGTAACAAGGTGCATCAGAGAAGGAGCCTGCACGCCAGAGTGCCAGGTTTTTGTATGTTGAAATAGAGCACTATTCTTGAACCCCAAACTTACTAATGTGCACCTCTGTAATTTCAGCTTTCATATCTGAATAAGTTCTGGGCTCAAAATATTATTAAAGGGATGCCGTGTCAGTGCTGCACAGTGTGCCGCACTGGTGTTCAGCGTCTCCACGCTCTGCATGGAGGCACTGAGCAATCCCCATAAATATGCATTCATTCAATGTATCTCTATGAAGAGAAATGCCGATTGGTGCAGTGTGGCACTTTGCAACTCATGCGCAATAGCCTCCCAATGCTTTCCTATGGGAAAAGCATTGGATTGGCTGAGATCATCAAAATTGATAATCTCAGCCAAGGAAGCGGAGCCAGCCGCGGTGAGACAAGCTCGGTGTGGGAGAAAAGGTGAATAAAATCCAATTAAATGGCTCACACTTTGTCCTCCGAAGGTTGACTTTTTGAGATGACCTGAAGAATTAAACTTTCAGCCACAAGCAATAGGCAATAGAAGTACTGTAACCATAACCACACCGCTATCTCACCAGCTTTCCTGAAAATTAACAGGTAGGAAGAGAATGACTGGAGCACAGTACTAGAACAGTTGGAGGTCTTGCCTACTCGTATCATATTTTTTGTAAGGGGAGGTTTGGTTTTCTGCAAAAGAGCTCCCAGATGGCAGTTTTATTGCTGTTGGCAAAACAGGAGTTACATCAAACAAGTGTCTGCAAATGTTGTTTCACATATACTACACTTGTAATGGCAGCAACTTCTACCAGGCTTTTACACAAAAAAAGGAAAAAATACATTTGCGCAGAATAGGAGCTGACCCATTTCTACAAATAGATCTCTCATGGCAGAGCAACTCGCATTGTCTTAGGGAATTTTAGATTTGAGCGAGTGCTGTAGCAGAGGCCAGGATGGATCGCGTTCTGTATATTCCTCTGCAGCAGCAGAAATATTCTTGAGTAAAAATGCTCCTACCTTCACTGTTCAGGGAGCGCTGTCTGTTCTCATTACTGTCTTCAGGTTATGTGTTCATGAAAAATAAATAAAGCATAATCTGTAAAATGTATACGTTTCCTTAGCTGCTAGAGAGCAAATGAAGAATCTGAAAAGTGTGTTTGTTGTGGAATCCTCAAAGACGTATACAGTAAGCTGACGTTTTTATGACGAATTGTAGGTCAAAATCACCAAATTGGCGAATTTTTTTTTTTATTTTGTTGCCTATTCTCTTCCAATTTCTTTACAATTTCCAGTTTGGGTATTAGAACATAAAGGAATTTATTCACTTAAAAAAAAAAAAAAAAAATTTCTCCCAGATTTCAGACTAAAATTGTCAAGCTGTAACTACAGTATTTTGATGATCTCTTCCTCCCCCTCCCATATTGGCTATTTTTCCCTTAAATTTGGAAATCTGTTTTCATTTTGTGATTAAGCTCTATTGTCTTATTTTGTTTGAGATTGTGTGAATTTAAACACAACGTGCTGTGACAATTGGCTATATTTTTTTATGCCCAAATAACAGGAACCTAGTCCAATGCAAAGCTGCTCATGTCTTTTAGAGGATTGCCTCCTGGGTCTGATGTCTCATACCTTTTTAAAGCAACACTATAGGCACCCAAACCACTTTAGCTAATTGAAGTGGACTGGCTCTGCCAGTTTAACGCAGTGTAACCCTGAAGTTGTATTCCAGTTATTAAACTGCAATAATTACTAACCAGGGTTAAATCCACCTCTAGCTTTATTTATTAGAGGGACTTCCGAGTGGTTAGGCGACTTTTGCATGACATCCTTACACTTTGCATGAGGACATCCGCGTCACCCAAAGCCCCATAGTAAAGCATTATACAATGAGGGGCACTATGGACAGCTATAGTGCTAGGAATACAATTTTGTATTCCTAGCCTATAGTTTCTCTGTCAAATTTTCTGTTTTTGTGTCTTTTTTTTTTTTTTTTTTAATTTAATGCAATAAATTATGCCATAATTCACATTTTCTTCTGGCAATACCGTGACTATGCGCTCTTGGCTGATCAGGGAATTTATACTGACGTTCATCCACCTGTACAAAGATTTTGAGTGTAATGTTGAGTGACATCCATATGTATAGCGGTACAGGGAGCTGTGGACAGATTGAGGAAGCAATAGTGAGAGTGGGTGAAATGGAACTGAAATGGTTTTGGTTAACCCGTCATGGTACTGTAAGGGGTGTAAGAAAAGTATTGTCTATCAAGAAATGATGGCGGCAGGATAAATGGGCTTGTTTGCTGTTGTTTAATGTGTTTATTGTTGTGATTTATCAGAGTGAAAGGTGTTGTTTTTTTTTTTTTCTTCAATAAAACATTTGGACATCTATTTCCTGCCTCTATTAGAGGTTTCTCCCTCTCCAGAATGTGTGTGTATGTATGTGCACGCACGCGTAACACCTTATTGACGTGACTTGGGTGCTGTCTGTCAGCACCCAAAATCCAGCTTCTTAAAGGATCACTTCAAACACTATAACTAATAATGCTGCAGTGATTATGGTGCCAGTGGTACCTGCCCCCTCTCCCCCTCCCCAAATGCAAGTTGAAAGTAATTAATAAATCTATTTTAGAACGGTTTGACATCTTGCTTGGGGTCTGCTGAGCTCTGCACCCCACCTTCAATACAATTGACAGTGAAACAAAATCTGAGATTGACAGAGTGACCAGCCGATGTGCTCAGCCAATGAGCTAGATCTGCACTGCAGGGCTTAGCTCAGGAGAGCCAACGGAAACTTCTTAAACAGTTTAGCTACTTACAATGGGGGAGAGAGTTACCATTGCACTCCTGGCACGGAATCACTGGAGCATTCTGTTGTGGCTATGGTGTTTAGAGTGTTTCATTAATTTCATGTTTATTGTACAAAGGTCATACACATTTATAGGCAAGGATAGGTTGTGAGTGCTTAGGGAGGACTGGATCAGTGCTCTCAGGCTATCATTGCTATCTAAGGTTGGACAGCTTTCTGCAATTACTTCTGCATAATCTTGGCAGCAGCAGAGTGCCTGGAGTTTGATTGCTGGGAGCACCCTATTTTTTTCCTTTTCAAAGCTTTGAAATGTTTTAAATAATAACAGAGGGAGTGGACTCAACAAATGATTGCACTATAACCACTACAGTATGCTGCGCAATCGTTTTCCGTTTCTGCTTATCCCCCAAGACAAGATACATTCCATCTTTATGATAGGGGAGGATCGCCTAAACGGGTCCGCATGCTATTTTAACCGGAGCTAGGTCTATAGCTCCCTGTTTGTGAGTGAATTTTACCAATTTATTGTAACATAGTATTGCAGTATTATACCATCTACACTATATTGGATTATTTGTTGTTGTAGGTATTCAACACATCGATTGCTCAAGTTTTTCCGTCTCTTCAATGTTACCATAAGGTGATAACTTATTGTTTTAAACATAAGCGCTACATTCTTCTGTATTTCATATATTTTATTTGCAAGTTTGGAAGGTCATTTGCTTGAATGTTTAGCAGCTAATTCTTGTTATAATTCAATTTGGATATATTATCCTGTATATTAATATACATAAGCGCTGGTTCTTATCCTAAATTTTCTCTTTTGTTATCAAACATAAACTGTATTGTGTACAAAAAAATATTAACAACATGCACCCCAGTTGATGTTCTTTATTGATTAAAGTGCCTATTATGAGGTGACTAAGATTATCTTGAAGAAAGAGTGAGTCTCCCCACTTTATCTTTACGATTTCCTTGTACAGGGCAAAGACCTGAATGGAAAAGAGCCGGAATAAGTGGAAACGTGGGTTAGGGGAAATGCTATTCCAGCACCCTCCAAACCCATCCCCCCCCAAAAAAAATCTCCCCTCTAGGCCCACTAAAGAGCTGCCCCATTGGGCTTCCCCCTCTCCCCAAACTAGATCGAATATTGGCAAAGTATAGATTAATAGGAAAATGTAAAGAATATAAGGTTGACTTTGAGAAAATGTTTTTTTTGTTTGTTTTTCACAGTTTAAGAATAGGAGCCAATTTGAAAGAAATGGCATAAAACGACAGAGCGTGTCGCAGTGAGTCTCCTTAACCCTTTGAGATCTGCAAGCTTTAGGTTTCCGCTGGTATTCCGCTCTTGTCTTGTTCCAAGTTTGATCGCCTGACCTCCAGGGCTGCGCTTGTTATCATCGGAGTTAAATGCGGAATGAAAGGCAAACGACACATGCAAGTTTATATTTGGTGTCTTTCACAAGCTGGTTGCATAACACAGCAAGGTGTGATGAGATGACTCATCGGCCTGCAGAATGTACCTTGAGAGTGTTCTAAGCCCCGCTGTGAAGCGATTGTGTTGTAGTTTGTAGGCAGAATACATTGGTACGACAGCAGGTAAAATAAAGGCTTACAAGTAAAACTGTCTAAAAATCTTTAGCGCTGGATACCTTCTGCTGTGTCCAGAACTCATTAAGCTTTTCAAAATCTGTTTTGCTGTCATTTACCCTGAAAAGAATCTGCAGTTTTCTATATTGTAAAAACAGTGTTGTCCCTAAAGTTTGACCTCTGGCACGGAATGACAGGACTGTCAAAAATTGTTCCTAATAGGTGTTAATCTTTTTCCGTCCTTTAGTGCAGTTTGACTGCATAAAGAAAATTACTAATTAACCGCTTTAGCTGAATTATTATTAGTTTTTTGTTGTTTTGTTTTTAAGCATTTAGGGTGCGTGGCAGAGTTTGATAGGAAATGTTAGTCCAAACAGCACATGGGAAGATGATTGATACTGCCATACGTTGCATGTCTCCTTCCTGATAGAAATGCTGCATTTTGTCAGTTTTTCACCTGTTGTGTTAGCGCTGGCAGGAAATCCGTCTGTTATTGGGTAAACATTTTGCTGTTTGTCGTACTTGGCGCCCATAAGGGAGAGGAACAGAAAAGCTATTGATTTGCCGCCTTAACCGTCTGCATCGCATTGTGACGTTGGCAAGGAACACAAACTCCTGTCTGCTCCGCACTCTGCTTATCCTCTTAACTCCTAATACATAGCTTATTGTGGAGACTATCCAGAACTGGTACTTAAATAATCTGAAATACCATACCTCCCAAGTGTCCATATTTAGGAAGGAAAGTCCCTATTCTGAGCTGAAATCCTTCTGACCTTTTTTTATTTTTTTTCCTATCAGTTGCATACTTCTGGTACATCTGACCTATTTAATATTGGTGTTTCTGTAATGGGGAAAAAAAAGCATTGTTGTTGGATTAAAGGAAGAAAACATTGAGTATTTGGTAAAAGAACAAAGCATTGAGGGCCATTTTCTAAAAACACCCTCTATTGGAAGGGTTAAATGTAAATAATTAATGGTGGTTGGGCGTTAAGGGTAACACAGGAAGTGGAAGGATTATCCTTATGATTCTAGGAAGCAGGGTGATTCCCTCTTACCCTCCCAGTTACTGTTGTGTTGATATGTGGCTTAACGGTGGGAAGTTCTTTAAGGAACAGAAAGAAAAGCCACTTGAACTAGGTAGACACATCCAGGTGGAAGAGTAAAATGGCAGACGTGAGCTTTTGGTTAAGGAGCTGCAGCTGGTGAAGAGTTTAAGTATTTTGGACATTAATTGTTCAATAAAGCTGTGGCCTAACCCTCTTGGCAGTATATAAAGTTGTTTGTCGTTCATTGTGAGAGTTATATGGTTGTGTCTGCTTGCCATAGTCCTGAACAGTAAAGAAAACAAACAAGGAAGAAGAAAGTAATTTGCTTCATCATGTTTTGCTTTGCACAGAATTAGTGGCACATTCAGTACTTTAAAGAGGAAATGTCACTTCTCTAAAAGTGACAGTACCTCCTTTCCCAACACCAGTAAAATTTCTACAGCGTTTACTGTAGTGGGGGGGAAAGCATCAAAGGTATTTTAAAAATACAATCCCTTCCATTATATTTCCACATTCCATATGATATCTTTGGTAAGCTCATTTATGCACTGGCATCTACACAAAAATGCTTTACAAGTGCATGCATGCTTGGATATGGCAAATACGGTAAATAAAAATGAAATAAATAGAAGCTACTAAAGGAATACAACAGATAAAGATTGAATAGCACAAGCAATAGCTAACTTTTGGTGCGCCGTTTTAAGTCGTTCTGTGAATTTTGGCCCATGCCTATAGATTACAACCTGCATTGTAATTATAGTTTGTGTTAGGCATGTCATGGTTACGGGCTGTGAAAACTTTGACTTAAGCAGCCCGCAAGCATGTGTTTCTATTTTTTTTTTTTTTTTTCTAACCTGTACAAGTGGATAAATTTCCTATTTCGTTGGGTTTTTTTTTTTTTTTTTTCTAACTTCATCAGGGCCTGTGATCTGCCAGGACTAACAAGTTCCTGAAGTGGTTAAGCCAGTATGTGATAACAAACACAGGCTTGGAACACAATGTGAAATCTGAGCCTTCTGTGTCTTAAGGGAAATTTTGAAATTTTAAACGGACACATTGAAATAAAGACACACAGAGCCTCATTGAATGGGTTGGAATAAAATCTGTCTCGTATTGAATAGACCTGGTCTTGCTGCTGGCCCACGTCCTGTAAGTGAACCCTTAAGCTTAGTAGACTGTGCCTGGGGGATCACTAATCCACTGGAAACTAAAGGGTTTATTCTGGAATCGATAGTAGATACCGGTAACTCCCAAGAGCCCTGCAAATTATAGAACAAATAGACCAGACCTTATGTAGCTCCGTTAACTTGGCCTAAATTGGCACATTTTACGTCAAAATTGTTACAGTATGAACAAATCTCAACCTTTCTTTGCAGCTCAGCCAATTTGGCCTTAAATTTGCTTTTCCCTGGTGAGTTCCCAATAATTAATGGTTTGGTCGTCAAGTCTGATTCGCTTTTTACAAGGTTTTTGGCAGTTAAAGGGTTACTCCCAAGCACCATGCCCACTTTAGTGATTTGAAATGCTTGTGGTGCCTTTTATGCAGCGTTTCAGTAAGAAATGCAGCACATATGAAGTTTAACACATCTGCTGCCAGACGTGTAACTCTATCTCTGGCAACATCATAGGGAGTCACTAGCCAGTCCTGAAAATCTCTGGTCTGGCTAATATCAATTCTGTGTAAAATTGTTATCTGACGACAGCAAGTGGCACACCCGCTCCCACCCTCAGGGATCCTCCATAGACCTCAATGCTGTACTTTCACACATGTGCGAAAGTACAGTGCTTACGTTGGCACCTGGCATCTCAAGGGCCAGGAGCTAAAAAGGATGGCAGCGCCTGCAAGAGACTGGTCCAGTTAAGTAAATCTCATCTTTGCCTAGACAATTACAGATCTGCTCTAAGTATGCGTAAGTTTTGGGTTTTTCAAAATGCCTTTTATTTTATGAGGCATGCATATGCAAGGTGGTGGTTTATTAAATAGGAAATGTTATACTTTAATTCACACACTTATGCCGTCAACGTAGGGATGTACTCTATAGGTTATAGTTTCCTTTATATTTCATACTTGAAACTGATTTTACCATCTGAACATTTGTGGAAATTTCAGCGTATAGTTCTGAATGGTGATTTGCAGCGGCATTGTGCAAGGGATTTACCGTAGCGCAGACAGGTATTAGTTGGGTGAGCCAGAGGTCACTTGTTAAATAATGACACTGGGATATGAAAGAGCAGGAAGCTTTTCCAGGTGGGTGAGCAGCGTTGGCTCCCGAGTGCACAGCTTGCTAAATTATAGAGAACAATGTGTTTGGGGGTGGGGGTGTTATAGTGTGCTTTGCAGACTGGCAGAGAATACATCAATAAAACAGCAGAGCTGATACACTGCAAAAGGAGGACATTGCTTGTAGTCCAAACTAGGGGTGTTTAAATGTGTCCCTTCCCAGAATTCTTTGCCAGCTAACAGCAGCAGAGCTTCACTTGGTTGGGCACTCATGATCTAAGATGATAAGGGTGCACAAAATAAAGAAGGCAGGGATACTTTACAAAGCCATTGAGTGGATGTTAATATGGGAGCTGACTGCAGAGACAATGATTTATAGTCCACCAATTAACTTAATTAGCTTTGCATAAAAATGCATTTCTAGCTGTTTGGCTACTACATCACACTTCTAGGTTTAACAGTTGCCACATGGATGTTTATAGCCAGGAAGGTTAATGAACATTTAAAAAAAAATATATATATATAAATTAAAGGGACACTGTAGTCACCAAAAATTGAATCTTGATCACATACAGCAGGCTCCTGCGCGGCCTAGCAAGCTATTAACAGAGCTGGAGATAAGAAATTTTAAGATTTGCAATAAAGGAAGTCTAAACATTATGACTCTTTACAGGAAGTGTCTAGGAAGGCTGTGCAAGTCAGATGCAGTAAGGTGTTACTAGGGCTGTGTAAACAAAGTGATTTAATTTCTAAGTGGCAGAGAATTGTGCAGAGACAAGATCTATACACCAAAACAGCTTCATTAAGCTACAGTTCTTTTGGTCACTATAGTGTCCCTATAAAAAAATAAATATGTAAATGATGATGATGATGATGATGGATGATGGATGATCGTGATACAATGTTCAGGACCAGTGAGCTTGCAGTCTGTTGAGCTTGCAGTATTTTCCCTCAGTAAATATTCCTAGTAAATAAATTTCCCCGTCACTATCCAAGACACATTCTATCACAAATTAAAGGACCACTATAGGCACCCAGACCACTTCAGCTCAATTAAGTGGTCTGAGTTCCAGGTCCATCTAGTGTTAACCCTGCAGCTGTAAACATAGCAGTTTCAGAGAAACTGCTATGTTTAAATTAGTGTTAATCCAGCCTCTAGCGGCTGTCTTACTGACAGCCGCTAGAGGTGCTTCCGCGCTTCTCACTGTGATTTTTACTGATTGAATGCGTGCGCGTCTCTTGCCGCGCATGCGCATTCGGCGGATGACGTCGGAAGAGGGAGGAGAGTCCCCAGCGCCGAGGGAGCGCGGCGCTGGAGAAAGGTAAGCATGTAACCCCTTCCTCCCCCTTCAGCCCGGTGGGAGGGGGGCCATGAGGTTGGGAGGGACCTATTAACACTATAGTGCCAGGAGTTTGTTTTCCTGGCACTATAGTGGTCCTTTAAAGCACTGAAATTGTTGTACATAATGGGCTCATCTTCCCGAAAGCCCAGCTGACTTGCTTTAAGTGCTGCTTTCCCAGGCTTTAGATATAATTTTCCCAGAGTCAGCCATGCCTTTTAATACAGTACTTTTACTAGAAAAGGCCCATTGCATTGGACGCTGTACAAGCAGTTACACCTGAATGTTAAGTGAATGACAGTGCAGTAAAACCGCACCTTGCTCCTTCATTTACAAGAATGACTTCCACAAGGAAACACATTCATTGCATTGTTCCCATGCACAAAGCTTTTACAGCAGAGATTGAGCTACAATGGGTTTCTGTTTAAAAAGTTCCTTCGTTGCATCCTTCTTTTGAAGTCTTTACATTAGTTAACCACTAATCCTTCTTATACCCAGAGCTGAAGATTCTAAGGTGGCAGTCATCCATGGGTCTACTGAACCCATTAAAGTGGCATTGCCATTTCTCTGGTCTTTATTTCTTCATATAGAGAGATTATTTTTTTGAAAAACTATCACAATATATTGAGTTTATATTTCAAAATAATGAAACCGTATCTAAAAACACAAGGACTACTTTGTCTTGTGTTTGCCCTTAGAAATGCCTAAAATGAAACCGTGAATAATGTTTTTGCTACTTCCTGTCGGCCGTTGCAAAATTTCTGTTTGAGTGACATGCGCATGCACAAGTTACAGATCTTATAACTTAATAACTTAAGTGTTTGACTTTATTGCTTATACAGGTGAAGGCATGAACAGAATTAATGTATTGGATGCCAGTAGCATTTCCTTCAAGTCACAATTTCCGCATTTATTCCTCCTAACTCCAAAGCCTTTAGTGGTTGGTGCATTAACTTACAAACCTGCTCTGCTCCAGGGGCCAATCATAAATCCCTTTCTGAATATCCCTCTTTCATCCTTTGTGCTGAAATGCTGTAGAATTTGGAACAATGTTTAGACTAAAACAAAGCAGTGGGTTGTATTGGAAGATTGGGAGCTGGAGGTCCCTGGTGTTTCTCTGAGCCCACTCCTGGTCTGTCCTCATTGTGGCATTAATTGGATTTCAGACGATTGTCCGGGACGATTGGAAACGTGAGCAGTGTGTAGGGTTGGATGGAATCGCTGACAATGTGAAAGTGATGACAAGGCCAAGAGAGGGAACAAAGAAACACGGCTCTACGAGAGCCTTCCATCTCTAACCCCAGGGAGAAGAACCCGTTCACACGGAACCAAAACAATTAGCGTGCGAAGGTTGTGTCCGTGTGACAATATGCAAATGGCTCGTAAGGGAAGTTTTCGAAATGGAAGTAATTAGACACAGCACAGAGAAAATCTGTTGTACAAGTAATACATTGTTCCCCAGCAACGAAGGGTTAACGTTCTACTTCCCTTTTATTTTGTAGACATGGGGGGGAAAAAAACAAATCGTATTTGCATATAATTTTATATGCTATAATTGTAACTATAATTAATTTTTTTTTTTCTTCATATTTTGCCACTTTTGTTACAACTCCCTATAAGAGACGTAAACATTCCTTAGAAGCAAGTTAATCACCATGTTTCTAATTGTTTGTTAGTAATTCTAGTGAAAGTAAAGCCATTTCGAAGTAGTTTTCAAGATTTGACTAAAAGCTGTACTCTCACGGTACCCAAAGACTTCTGCTGCTTATGTAATTTTTCTTTTCTTATTTTAAAACGTTTTTTGTTTTTGTTTGTTTGTTTGTGCATTACCTGTACCACATTTCAGATCTTGCATAAGAATGACATGCTTAAAGGGGATTCCATAGTAAAAGTTGTATTCCTTACACTATACATCCCTCTGGTGCTCCCCCTACCTCGCACACCTCCTACAGCTCCTAAAAGATTTAAAAACCCTTTAGTCACTTACTTATTTAGTCACCAATATCCCTCGGCACAGGATCAGCGTTCCACCTTCTCTGTCATCAGATGGGGGGCTAATGCGCATGTGTGGTGAGCGCCACAAGCGTATTAGATCCTCCCTATAGGAAAGCATCAGTTAGACAAAAGTCTATCAGACAGTCTTGGTCCTGCAATGTAATTATTGCAATCTTTCAAAAACTGCAATGATTTACATTGCAGTACTAAGTGGGACAGGGACGCTGCATCTAGACCACTTTATTGAAATGACGTGATGTGGGTGACTATAGTGTTCCTTTAAGTGCTCTGGGTGGGTTACCCAAACTGATTTTTTTATTTTATTTTATTTTTATTTTTTTAAGCTAAGAAAATGTCTCTAGATGTCAAAGGTAACCCTCTTTTCTATTCATTTTTTTAATTTTTTTAATATTATTATTATATTCCAACAGCCAATGTTAGAAAGTGCTACTACTTTTAATTTGAAGTAGCAATAGGCGCATAGTGTTAGTGGTGCGTCTGCAAGTGGCATTATACAATATATCGCATAATACCTACAGAATGCCATTGCTCTCTGTGTAGCCCCATGTTATCCAAACTTTCATTTGTAATGGATTGATTCACTCATTGAAACCTATTACAGGCTGTGCATAGTTCATGCATGTAGTCTGTATGTAAAAACATGACCGTTTCACATCCACATTGTAGAGAAGATAATATTAAACAAAAGCACGAGAAAAGCAGAGTTCAGGTGAAATCGTAATTGGCTACTCTGATTTAGAGTGCAAGCTTACTGGACCACTTTTGTAAATCTTTTCAAATTAATTTTTACATGGTATAAATTCATCTCCCAGATGTTGGCATGTGAGGACCCGTTTTGACCTTATGACCTTTTTCAAGCCTTTAAAACTTACTGGCATGAAATTGACATCATTATTCCCCGACAGGATGATCCCAGACTGTCTGCAGCAGAGGTTAAACAAACAAGTGTAAGATTGAGAAAACCCAGATCGTCACATTGCAGACTGTAAACTGGAGAGATTTAAGTTGCCCTCTCATAAATTATATTCTCCTAGCATCTGGGAATAACCTCAATAAATAGAGAAATCATGGGGCATGCTCAAAGCATCTTCAGATTCTACCCTTCTTAAATAGACCGTGAAATCGGAATCCCTGAGAATGTGTTCTTGCATGGTTCTTACAATAAATTGTATGTTTATGGGTATAGAGGGACCATAAATTGGACTGATCAGATAATCTTAGTTCCATTAGAAATAGATAAGGTGCTTTTCAAAATAAAATCTCTTTAGCACTAAAATAATTGAGGGAATAGAATTATTATTATTATTTTTTTTTATCATTGATATTTTGCATTGTTTTGAATGAGACAATAATGCTACATTACTTTTAAGTTCTATCAAAGGAACACAAACATAGAGGTAAATTTAACAGTGCAGGTCCCTGGTCTCCTCTCTTTACATTAAAAAGTGAGTTTACTGCCATTTTCTCTGAAAAGGCAGTGTTTACATTAAAAAGCCTGCAGGGACATGCTATAGACAAAAAACAAAACAAAAAACCTGCATTAAGCTGTGGTTGTTCTGATGACTATAGTGTCCCTTTAAATTCATTGGTGAGCCAAGGAGAAATCTCACATTGCTTTTAGGAACAGTCCGTAGTAGCGGAATCGGACTATACGTGCACATGTGTCCCTGTTTAGGAGGGACAGTCCCTAGTTTGGGCCCTAATCCTCTTTTCTACCCTTACATTCTTCCTTTTCTAGGAGCACCATATTATTGGTTTGTCTGAGGGTATAACAGAGCTCCACAGCAATAATACAGAAATGCGTCTTTAGAAATAATAAATGTGTATAGAAAGCAGTCTGTGTAAATAATAATAATTTGGTTGCCTAAATTACTGTTGGGAAGTCGCCTTAAATTTCTCAGAACAGCCTCGCCACATCCTCACTCACACCCTTAAATTTAAAGTGTCTCTCGTTTGTACAGTTCAACTGTCCTGGTACATACCAGGAGACCTGGAAACTGTCTCCGAGCATCACAGCGCAACTGCATCGTATCCAAAACGGATTGAGAAATGTACGCATTTTTTCCTCAAACCGTTTCTATGAATTCAGAATCACTGATTAGCTGAGTGTGTCAGCCAAACACTCTAAGCCAAACAGCGGCTTCCCCGCCTGAGGCAGTCCTAGTCTTCTGTTTTCATGTTTTCCATCAAGTGGAGGTTGAAGGGGGCAGAGCGATCTGGCGTTGAAGAGGGCACTTGAGGTTTAAACAATTCGTGAATAGAGACCACTAAAGCTTACCACTAAAGGTAAGCTAGCGCCTGGGTCCTCTTGGCACCATAACAACTTAATTTTGATTTTAAGTTAGTTTCGTTTCCCTTTTAAGATTTTTGAATAAATGCATTTAACCAATATTATATTATCTTTATTATAATTTTTATATATATATATATATATATATATATATAAAATTTACATAATTATTTTTTTTTTTTAATTTGTTTATCCTAAAACATTGGAGTTAGGAGTGTTGGCATTTTTTTTTATATACCAGCAAAGATAAATAATGGTAATCCGTAGCACTGTAGGCATGTTGTGTCCCTGGTGATGTGAAATACAGCTGTAATCCCATTAACCAATTCCCACAGATCCTTCTTGCTGTGTAGGTCACGTGCAATCCCATTTTTGGCTGTGGAAACCATTGATATAAGTGCTTGTGTTGCTGTGTGCGGCTAGTTCATACAGCGTAATCTCCTCTAGTCACAGCCATGACCACCAGCTAATCCTGTTCGAATGAAGAGTGGATGAAAAATGCACGACTGGATCTGGCTAATTAAGGATTTTGAGCATATGGGTTTTTTGTTTTTTTTGTGATTTATTAAGTAATGTAGCAAGATTAAAAGCATGTTGAAACAATTAGTATTTTCAACAGTTTGAAGCTCAAAACAGGTCTTAATTTTTGTGTCCTACCAATGGCATATTAAATACATGTAATACCGTTTTCTCCCTTAAAGTGCTGTTAGGGGCGCTATTTATTTTTTCAGTTTTCTTCAGTAATCTCAGTAATCTCTCTAATGTTTTTGGTGGCACTTCTGGTGTATAGGAAAGGTAGCTTGGTGATTTCAGATGCTTGAGTGTATATTTTGTAACATAAATGCATTTGTTAACAATGACTCTGCGTATAGGAACACTATAGTCACCAGAACAACTGCAGCTTAATGTAGTTGTTCTGGTGAGTCTAATAGCTCCCTTCAGGCATTTTCATGCATTTTCTCTGAAAAGGCGGTGTTTACATTGCCCCTAGGGACACCACCAAGTGGCCACTCCTTAGATGGCCACTGGAGGTGCTTTCTGGCTCAGTGCTGCACAGTAAGCAGCCCTGCCATTCAGCGTCCCCCCGCTCTACACGAAGACGCTGAATTTTGGCCCCGCCCCGTGCCGCTTTTTTTTTTTTTGTCTATGGAAAGCATCGGATTGGCTAAAAATCGGCCATTTCGATGTCACAAAGGGGGCGGAGCCAGCGCGGGCAGAGCCAGTGCCGGCGGACCCGCACGGCGCTGGAAATAAGGTGAGTTTTATAGGGAGGTTAAGGAGGGGCAAGCCACCTAAATGGTGGGTTTAGCACTATAGGGTCTGGAAAGGCTCACCAAATTGGAAGCGCAATCGTGTAACTAAAGTTGGAGAATTCAAAGCATTCCTAATAATGCGGCCTTACGTCGTTCAATAGAGAGGGCGACATATGCATTCCCCAGGAGGCAGAAGAAGCATGGAGCACATACACATTTCCAAGTGGGATCTGATTTTTAAGCCCTCCTCAATTTCTTTGCCCGGGTCGTGTTTGGTCCAGGATGTGAAGATGTGGACCATGGAACCAAATTCTGGAATCTGTGCCACTTTATCTCAAAGGATGGGTCTTGGCATTCAGCATGCAGACCAATACACACCACATCCTCAGCAGGTTGGGGGAAACTTGTGTCCCTCCAGGTGTGTGGGGCTCATCCACAATAGATTCCCTGACAAATTGAGACTCATCATCCCACTATTTGTCCTTGTTTGAGGCAGAGTGGTGTTTGGCTGGCCACTCCTCCGTGACAGATGATGGAGGAGAAAATTTTGTCTGCGTCATCCAAAGAGAGAGACTTTCCCCTCCTCATTGTCCACTTGTTTGACCCTCTTGATCTAAATAAAGTTGTTATAGTGCAGGAGGCCACTGGCTGAACAGTTCAACCCCAAAGATTGCCTCCAGCGTTCATCTACAGGTTACCCAGATGGCATTTGGCTTCTGAATCCTAGTTGCAGGAAGAGCGTAGTCCTGTGGGACAGGGGCGCAGCTGATTGGCTACAGCTGTCAGCTGATGCTCTAAGCCAATCAGTAGCTTTCCACTCATAAAAAAGTTATGCAGAGTCCCCAGCAAATCAATCTCCTCTGTGCTGCTTGATCTATTAGCCTAAGTAGCAATGGGTGGCTGTAAATGGCTGAGAGTGTCAGGTGGCTGCTTTCAGATGGGCACAGTGACCATTGCTGGTCTGATGAGAAGGAAGTGTGTGATCTCTGCCTTAGCCATATCTCTAGTAAGGGGCTGGATATGGGTGGAACCCATCCTCATTCAGTTTGAAACTGCTTAAACCCGTCCTCCTCGAGCTTTGGGTATATGAAGCTTCCCAAGCTTGTAAGGCTGGTGCTCACTTATGGTTTGTCTTGCCTTCTGCCTAGCCTGTTATGTAGCCCCAGACAGGAAGGTGGTGGCTACTAAACCTTACTGATCTTTATCTTGCCTATCCCTACTTACGCTTAAAGTTTGTTTCTGTTTCGGGCACACTATTCATGTCTAGACACTGATATCTACCTATGAGTCTTATTTTTGGCTAAGCTAAGACATGTACTTTTAGCCTGACTATATAAATGTAAAAATATGTGCAGTACTCTCAAACTGTCTCAAGACCGTGATGCTATGCACAGTGGTGTATTCTGGTTTTGTGCTGCCCTAGGCAGGACAAAACTCAGGCGCCCCCCACCCATCCCTTCCTCACGTGACCCTCCCCCCTCCCATCCCTTCCCCCGCCTTCTAAATACACACACTCACTAACACACACACACACTAACACACACACACACTAACAGACACACACACACACTCACTAACAGACACACACACTCACATTAACACATGTACTTTTTAAACCTCCCCCCCCCTCCAGCCTCCTTACCTTTGGGAGTGCTGGGGAGGGAAGGGGTTCTCTATCTCCCTGGTGGTCCAGTGGCTGCTGGGTGGGCGGCATTGGCGGGCGGCTGGCGAGGGAGCTCTTCCTGTGAGCTGACTGCTCAGCTCCCTCGCGCGCCGCAGAGTGAGGCTGGGAGCCGGAAGATGACGTCATATCCCGGCTCCCAGCCTCACTCTGCGGCGCGCGAGGGAACTGAGCAGTCAGCTCACAGGAAGAGCTCCCTCGTCAGCTGCCCGCCCGCCAATGCCGCCCAGCATGTCTGTTAGCCGCGAGGCTAACATGACATTTGCCTTGGGCATTTGGGGGGTGGCTTTTTTTGCCGCCCCCTGAAAAATGCCGCCCAAGGAAAATGCCTTGTTTGCCTCGCGGCTAAAACGCCCCTGGCTATGCATCTTTTTACACTTGCTTCTGCTATTCTGGCACTTTATGTTCAATAATCATTCTATGCACATTCAAAATAAAGAATTTTTTAAAAAGTAGTCGCTGCTCAGCTATTTTGTAAAATATTAGTACAATGTGTTAAAAAAACAATACTTAAGCTGTTGGATAACTGGTTAATATTCAACTAGTACTTTTCAAGGTCTACAACACAGCAAGATCAAATCTGGATCAGTTTCTTAAAAGAAATAACATATACAAAAAGCAATCTTTATTTCATGAATCTAGTTTTCATTGTGATCGTTGTCCACCCACCACCGTCCGTAAAATTTTATTAAATTAAGTTTACTTCGCTCGGTTTCATTTCCCGAACTCATCCACTGCAGCCACCAGCTCCTCCTCCGATGATGTCCTCATCGAAGCTGTATTCATCCCTGGTCTCCTCCAATCAGTTTTTTTCAGAATCAATGTAGTGGATCTAGGCATGCACAGTCAAATTACTTTCGCTCTGTTCTGGAGGAAGAAAGGCTTCTGATGGGCTGTACAAACAAAGTGATTTAACTCCATAATGGCAGAGAATTGAAAAGGGGAGACTGCAGAGGCATTATCTATACACCAACACTGCTTCATTAGGCTACAATGGTTTTGGTGCCTATAGTGTCCCTTTACAATTTTTCTATTTTTTTTTTTATTTTTTTTCTCTCTTCTGGATTACAGTAAAACCTTTATGCAATCTCTTCATCACACCTTAATCTGCAGTCTTCTTTACAGCCGGCATGTATATCTCATAACATTTTCTATCACTTAGCAGAAAGCAACCATTCTACTACAGGGAAAGTTGGCAGATCAGTGAAAGAGCTACAGTTTAGATTATGATAAGGCAAAAGTCTTGTCCTCAAGCAGTGGAAAAATGTGTTATCGTATATATTTGCCGTATTGATTGCAGTTTACTGTAACTCTGTAATAATTTGGCAGATTATGTTAATTCAGGGTAATTTCCTCCTGCTGTTGTGGCTTATAATTTGTACAACCTTAATTATACCTCATTAAAGATATCCTGCCTGCAATTGTCATGGTAATTTGCTAAACACCGTTAATAGAAATTGCATGCCCCAGTATTTTGACTTTTCCCTTTCATCGTGTAATCAGCACTATAAACAGGCTACATGGGTAGCTACCAAGAGAGTGTTATGTTTTCACAAATATCACATTTAAGTAGATTATCTTTTGGTTTTTGTTTTGTTGAGGCCTGTCAACTTTAGAATTAGTTTGTATATTTTTATAAACGTTGAATAAATATTTGTTAGCAGATCAGAGTTAAATGGGAAATGGTATATATATTTCTCTGGCAACACATTTTTATTTATATATATATATATATATATATATATATATATATATTTTTTTTTAACCACAATCAACCACGATATTCCGCTTCCAATCTCAATGTCTTTTCCCATCAGCATCCTCTTAGAAGAGCCATCTTCTAAAATGCTTCATATGGAATATGTGTATGTATGTATGTAGAGATTGTAGCCGTATTAGTCCAGTGATGTAGATGTAAAAAAAACAGATCAAATTTGTATCTTGTAATACCTTTTTTATTGGACTAACAGAATTTTTTAATGACGACAAGCTTTCGGGAGAACCTCTCTTTCACAAGTCTGAAGCATTTCTGAGCAAGACGACACATAGAATTCGAAGTTGAGTTGTGATACAGGGGTTAGAGCGACATGAGTGTAGATAAGACACAGGTTTGTTAGAAAATAGACACCATCTTAGCAGAGGGTATATATGTGTGTGTGTAAATATATAATTCTGCAGTCCAGCTAGATTTTCCATAGATCCCCCATTTTGTATTTTTTTTATTTTATTTATTACTTTCATCACCACCACCCCAAACTGGTCTTTGTAAAAGATGCAGAGATCTCACAAGTCATTGTATAGTTTTCAAGATGCCCAGACGTTTCCTTTTGATTTTCCTGCTTGGTTAACAAATGTATTTATTTTTTTCCATTTATTATTCTTTTCTTGGAGAGGGTAATACAGAAAGTTCCTGAAAGACTTTGTAGCGCCATGTAGTATTGATTAATTTCTTTATTTTTTTTTTTCGGGGAGGTGTGATACTCGCTGGTTAAATTCCCCAGAGCTTTTAAGTTTTGTCTAAGATGCTTCACAGTTGGGTGTTCATTCTGTGTTCTGATCTCCCTCTGGCTCACTCTAAACTGAAGAGAATTGAAAATCCTGCCTGAAATTGCAATTCCTGGGAGATCGAGAACTGACTGCAGCAGATTTAACGGCTGCTGGAGAGAATTACATTCAGAGATATGTAGAAAGTGATGAAAGAACTGTAAAGGAATTCTGAGCATCTCTTGTTTATGTGAACGATTCTAAAAAAATAATTTTCTAACTTTAATGACGTAAAGTAACAATTTTATTAATACAAGTGGCAAATATTATTCTTTAACTTTCTTTATTACTCACGTAGCCGCAAACAGAGAAACATGCTGACTAATGGGTATAATGAACCACCAATCACAGTCAAGCACAGTCTATATAAGGCAACAACATAGCTACCCAGCCCTCTTTATATGATGGAGAGGATCAACAATGTAGTAGAATGAAGATTAATAAGAAAACGATTAACTGGATCCAAAACTTATTTCGGAAAGAAGAAATTCTTTTGATCTTGTTTCTACTGCGGGGGAAAAAAGCAATAAGTAAACATACATTAATCAGTAGTTAGAAAAATGTGGAGGGTATACAAAAAAAATATAAGTATGAGTGATGGAATAATACATTCTGTCCTAATAAAATTGTGACTTTAATGATGTAAAGTTAGAATTATCTTGAATTTTCATTGACTGCTAGTTGAAAGCTAAAAATCATTACTTGAATACATGCATACTGACACGAGGGGAAGGTTCCACATACGACCGACAAAATGCCCGTTAATGATAGGGGACATACCTGGTACGTCCAATAGTAAATCCTCACTTACCTTATCGTTGGCGATTCCCCCACCAGCGATCGCGATCCCTGGGTCTGCCTGGGAGTTAAGGCATGGATGCATGATGACCAGCTGTCAAAATTCCAAGTTTGAAAACTGGAATGTGCACCCTCCAAATAACGTCTTTTACCCCCCCCAGAGAACCCGACACACCTATACATGGATGGTATCGCTGTACTCAGGAGATGTTGCTGAACACATACTGGGGTGTTCTTTGGTAGTAACCCTTAAGGTCCTCAGTACATGTATTCTTAAATGGCTATGTGTGTTAAAAAAAATTTTTATTTTTGCATTGGTGGTAAAATGGCTGCACGAAAAGAGTCAAAATACGTTTAATACCTTAGGTTGTCTTCTTTTAAAAAAATATATACATGTTAAGGATTATTCAGGGATTCCTGACAGATATTAGTGTTACAATGTAACTTGCGTTAATTTTTGTTTGGAAAAAAAAAAGTGTGGAAATAGAAAGTGCTATTTGTACTTATTGCCCTACGACTTGCAAAAAAAAATAACATGTTAACATTGGGAGAACTCAGGAGAACATTTTTAAACTATTTATCATGGGTGTTTTTTGGCGGTTGTAGATGTGTAACAGATTTTGGGGTTCAAAGTTATAAAAAGTTTTTTTTGTTTGTTTCATCAAATTATTTATTTTTTTATAGTAAATTATGTGATATGATGAAAATAATGGTATCTTATCTTTAGAAAGACCATTTAATGGAGAGAAAAACTGTATATAATATGTGTGGAAACCGTAAATGAGTAAGAGGAAAATTACAGCCAAACACCGCAGAAATGTAAAAACAGCCCTGGTCCTTAACAGTAAGAAAATTGAAAAGCGGTCTGGTCACTAAGGGGTTAAAGTAAGTGTTTAAAACATTTCCAGAGATCAATCCGCTGTTTTGAGGATGACCAATAAGATATGTTTTAGTAGTTCTAACTGATCGAGATCAATAAGCTCCAAAAATAGAGATGTCAGTACCTGCAAGATACATGACGAATTTTAACCATCTAGCAATACTGGCACTATATACTAAAAGGTAAGGTTATGGAAAGAATTTTAAAAGTTGGAAACATAGGATTTCTTAATGAAGCCGGTTGCAATTCGTACATTTTTAAGCATTAAACAAAACCTAGTTTAGGCTTTTGAAGGAACGCAGGATACAATATAGAAGACAGATCAGTCCTAGTACGTCTTACATTTGGAAACTGAAGCCATCTGGAAAGTAAATTCTATTATGGATATCAAGTGCTTTGACATCTCATACATGCTTGAAAGAAATGAGACTCTAATAACATGGCAAGTTTAAATTCATTTTAATGATACATTTTTATTATCGTCCCAAGAATTAAAAACCTGTTTAGGAATATTTTGGGCAAGCAGGTTGTTTCAAGCGAAAACCTAAAATAAGTTGCAAACTATAGGATGCTTACCTATCAAAAAAGAAATGCACCTTTTCCAAGCCAGTTTTGTGAATGGGGATTCACTGATCAGCCAATCTGCCTAGCGACACTCCGTGCAAGCCGGAAAGCGTTTGTGGAAAGTTGAGTTCGGCACCATAAAAACTTACTTTAGATGAAGTTGTTTTGGTGCCCTAGCTGTCCCTTTAAATGAGCATGTAAAGGCTCTTTAGAATGAGATAAAGCTAAGGAAATAGACTTAGTCAAAGTCTCCTGCATGTTAAAGGACCACTATAGTGTCAGGAAAACAAACTTGTTTTCCTGGCACTATATAGTCCTTAGGTCCCGTCCCCCCCTCCCGCTGGGCTGAAACTGTTAAAACTCCTTCAGCCACTTACATTAATCCAGCGCCGTGGTCCCTCGGCGATGGTGACCTCTCCTCCCCTACGTATGCGTATGTGCAGCCAGACCTGCGCGCGCATTCAAATCACCCATAGGAAAGCATTACTCAATGCTTTCCCATGGACGTTCTGCGTGCTCAATGCGACTTTCGCATTGAGCGTCGCAGAAGCGCCTCTAGCGGCTGTCAGGAAGATGGAAACATAGCAGTTCCTCTGAAACTGATATGTTTACAGCTGCAGGGTTAAAACCGTAGGGACCTGGCACCCAGACCACTTCATCTGGGTGACTATAGTGGTCCTTTAACCATTGCTGATGAAACAGTTTGTTGAACAGATTTTTGCACAGATTCATCTAATAAAGCCTTAATCTGTTCTTCAGGCATATTTTCAACTACATCTGCCAGATCCTCATTAGAGGAATACAGGGGATTTTTTGAAGTCATGATAGAAATGTTAAATTAAAATGTTAATAAATGGCAAACTATTTTTGAACAGGTGGAGTGTATGTATGTATGTATGTATGTATATATTGTGATAAACTTACTTTCCTGTGTGTGTTTGTCCAGGATCTTTTGGCAACCGCACAGCCCTCTAGGGTAAGAAAACCAGGTCAAGACAAAGTCCAGTTTCAAAAAGGTTTCTGGCCTGTTTATTTTCTGTTATGAATTAACGGGATACAATAAACAGCAAACCTTCTTTCTCCTCAAAACACTTCCCTCACTTCACCCTGCTTTAACTGCAGTTATATAGCTGCTCACAGCCCCTACAGGTGAGGCTAATGACCTCGTTAGGCAGAGAGCCAGAACTCCTTAGAAAACCTGGGCTGGACTCATGCACAACCACTCTGACAGTGGTTGGAGAATCGGCCCACCATGCTCTTCCGAATACTCCACCCCAGGGACCCAAATAACAGAGGAAAAAAACCTACATTTAAACTTAACTTTCACTGGGGCTGCATGTGCTTACCCATATGTCAGGGTAGTGGCTGTGCAAAAGTCTGGGTGCCAGATATACACCCCTGACCACCATCCCCAACACTCTGTTACTATATATATATATATATATAATTAAAATGTAACAAACTGAGGGGAATAAAATAGAACAAGCAAGTTGTAACAATAACAAACTTGAAACAAAAAATACCTGAAGTAAATCTTATTTAAAAACTGAATGAAATATTGCCAATCTGAAGAGTGGTGGCCCGAATTCCCTGCTTCTGAGGTGACCATAAGACTAAATTTGTGAGCTCCCTGTGTCAGAAATGTTTGCTTCCCCAGCTTTATGAATATATTAATTATATATTTTAGTAAACTTTCTTGCTTAATCAGCCCTCAGGCAGTCACTAGGGCTATGGAGGGAGAGAAAAAGACAATGTTTATGTTTCTCTGAAACTGCTATGTTTACATCTGAAGGGTTAAAACCTAGGGGACCTGGCACCCAAACCACTTCATTGAGCTAAAGTGGTCTGGATGCCTATGGTGGTCCTTTTAAAGCAGATGAAATTAACATAAACTGGAAAAAAAAAATAAGGGTCTTGCACCGACAAGCTCACAATCTATAGTATATTGCATACAACTCAAATTTTTTTTGTGGTAGGTCATCAGGTCTGGGTGGGGTTTTTGCTTTGTTGCTGCCAGGAGAGAAACCGGAAATATATATTACCTCTAACCATCTGCTGTTGTGACTCCATATTTGTCCTAAAAATAATAAATTCCTCTGAGACTCTTGTCATTTCCAGTTCCATGAATGGGGGTCTCCGTTCCCCTGTATCATAGGGGAATTCTTTATTTTCTTAAATTATGTGAATGAACTAATGTCATGTTGGTATCTTGGCAAAAAAACAAATGTGCTCAGCAGTTCGCGTTGCCAGATGCAAAGTACTGACCTTGCAAAACTAAAATAATATACCATTTAACAGGGGAGATTACAAGCTCGCTTTGTGAGTGACCTGCAATTCACTCATTGTTACAAAGAAACGCGTTTCACATATTTGGCTTAGCAGGCCCTCATTCCAGTCTTTTTTGTTACTTTTATATTTTTTTCATTTTTTTTGTAATTCATTATGTCTTTTGTTCTGTGAATTCCCTTAGTCTAACACACCTTTTTAATATGCTGAATCTCAGTGGATTTATTTTATTTCTGTAATTTAAAATCAAAAACTCCCGAGAGCAAGAAAGGTCATTCTTTACACAGAGATGAATTCGGGCCATTCTTTGCCTTAGCAAATAAGAGTTGAAAGCATCTCCAATCCAGTTACCTTATTCCGTTCACTGGGAAAATGTAATCCTTTTAAGATGCTCTGTAGACTGTGAAGTCAGATCCCACTGTTAATTTGTCTCTCTTCTTTCTCGCTCTCAAAGACAGAACAACCTCTAAAACTTTTTTTTTTTTTTTTTTCTTCAGTTAGGTAAACTTGTACTGCAGTCGGTTTGCACAAGATGTTCACATAAGGCTTGTCTATTTGTTAATGAAGATCTGCTTGTGTCAATTTGCAGATGCAGGCCTTGTACAAATGTGTAGTTATTTATTTATTGCTGGCATTATAAAGCACCAACTTATTCCACAGCGCTGTACAATGGGGCCTATACAAAATGTAGAGAGGACTCTAACCGTGAGCTGAGATCTATCCATTGAAGCTGTTTTATACAAAGAAAGTGCCTGGTTAAATAGCCCGTGAGCTTACACACAATTGGCCTATAATAATTGTATTTTCTTTTTCCCTTCCCCAAAATGAACTGAATTGAATTTTTCAATATCATTTTATACTACCGTGTTGTTGGCCAGATAGAGCTCAATATGAAGTATTTTTGTTTGAATGACTGCAGTCTTATCCAAAATATATTTTGTTTTTCTTTTTTTATTCATTAAAGGACCACTATAGTGCCCTGAGGGTGCCCCCACCCTCAGGGACCCCCTCCCGCCCGGCTCTGGAAGGGGAAAGGGGTAAAAACTTACCTTTTTCCAGCGCTGGGCGGAGAGCTCTCCTCCCCGTCGGCTGAATGCGCACGCGCGGCAAGAGCTGCGCGCGCATTCAGCCGGTCACATAGGAAAGCATTCATAATGCTTTCCTATGGACGCTGGCGTGCTCTCACTGAAAATCACAGTGAGAAGCACGCAAGCGCCTCTAGCGGCTGTCAATGGGACAGCCACTAGAGGAAATAGGGGAAGGCTTAACCCATTCATAAACACAGCAGTTTCTCTGAAACTGCTATGTTTATGAAAAAATGGGTTAACCCTAGCTGGACCAGGCACCCAGACCACTTCATTAAGCTGAAGTGGTCTGGGTGCCTAGAGTGGTCCTTTAAACAATTTGAATAACCTGCATGTATAATGGGTATCTGGGCATATATTTGCACGCTTTGTTAGAACTACTAAGGTTACTTAATGTGTGTGTGTGTGTGTGTGTGTGTGTGTGTGTGGGGACAGGTGCCCTGATCGTGTTCCGCACAGGATAAGACCAGCTGAAGAGGGGCGTAAATAACAATTGAACACATACCTATAGGCTTTTACTGATAGACTAGATTATATGCATACATATAGTAATGTCCTTCATTGGGTCAATAAATCAAACTCTGTATAACTCCTTAACATGCATCCATTTTTATGTGATTTTTCGTGTAGCCGTGCCTTCCAATATTTTAAATGGCCAAAGAGGAACACTTTCTTTTTAAGAGGTGTGGCTGAAGGTATGTCCAGGGCGCGCTTATGCTAAGATATTGAGGCAATATAAATTATTTGAACTGCACGTTTAACTTCAAACAAAATCAGACAATCTACTATACAGAGATATTTGTAAATAAATTGACGTTTATAGACCCGTTATGGCGAGTTTTATTGTTGTGAAGCTCGGTGATACGATTTAACTCCCGAACTAGAAAGGAGGGATATTATGATAAAAAAGACAGACTGGCCTAACTAAATAGACATTTGTGGGGTATATTATATGATCATAGTATGAAGGCACTTACTTGTTCCTAAACGCTATACATTTATGTAATACTGTAGTACAGTTACATGCTATATGGCTGAAATCTTTTTATTACAAAAACAAATTGGCCCAGTACATGAGAGCAGGATTGTATGCAGTAAAGATAATTATAATAAAAACCTAGCTCATAATCGACAAATCTTTATTGTAGGAAATTGCATGTGAAACCTTGTTCTCATTGTGATTTAAACTATATGTAGATGGGCCATTCTAGAGTCAACACGAAGTTGAGTTCATGGCGAACCCTGAAGTTTGAAAGTTAATCTATAGATTTATTGGTAACCACGGCAACGTGTTAATCCTACAGCAGGATTCTAAAATGCTCAATACAACCAGTGGATAAAAGAATGAGTGCTTCTAATACATAAATGTTTTCATTTAGTCTGATGTGTATTCTAAAAAACTTCATAAATTGAAATTAGTTTAATTAAATCATGTACCCTGTGTATATGAAAGGAGTAAATTAAATTGGAAAGGAAAACATTTAATCTTTTGAAACTACATGGGGAGTGGCAGTCAGGGAACATATTCATCAATATTTAAAGTACTCAATATTTCAAGAATTCCAAAATACTGAAGATATTTCAGACAAGTTAAAATTTCATGAAAATTAAAAAGGGAGAGGGGGTTTGTCTGCAGGATTTATGTTTTTGCTTTTAGCTCATGCATTTAGCACAATTATAGACTAAACTTTAATTTTAAACATCTTGTTCTTGGTTGCAAGCAGCATAAACTCATTAATCTTAATTTCTGATTAGCAGCTAAATGTTCCTTTCTAAAAAAAAAATTGAGCCTCCGGTCATTATCTATTTAATGTAGCCAGATTTACTGGTTGTGTAAGGACAGCTGATACCACCCATCATCCATGTGTTTGTGGCGAACATATTGAGCTGCTTGAGCCCTGTAATATTGGGTATTGGGGCCCTATATAAAATGAGCTAAACCTATTTCTTTGATTTAGCCTAATTCACTAAACTGCTAATTGTATAGCATTGACAAGGTAATTGTGAATTCTGTCCAAGATGGCTTATCTGGAATAAATGTTTAATTGAAAAATATTCTTACTCCGATATTTGTTTTGCAATTTCTTTGTCAATTTTTGAAATGTAGGTAATAAACCATATAATGTCCAATGAAAAAAAAATTAAAATTAAAATCAATTTAAATGTGAAGATCTGTATCGAGATGTTTCATTTGAATACTTAAATGCTGTACGTAAGTGTTGATAGAGTTGGACCCTGCTAAGTATTTTGTTTGAAACAAATTGTCTTGGTGTGATGCTTTGTTGAAATGAGTCACTGTTTTTCGACTATAGGTGCCTCTTGTGAACCAATTGCTGATATTTTCCCACCAAGTCTCTTTGATAAGTGTGAAAGGTTTTGCAAGGCAATGTGACAAAGTGGCTGTGATTTAAGGCTGTCTATGGGCTAGTGTTGATCTGGGGATGGCTGGGTAGCAGATGCAGTCATCTCTGGATAATTTGTGGATGTACGGTTCTTGATCTGGCTACATGTTTCCCTGATCCCCGCTGTCTCTGACCAGGGTGACTGATTATTAAACGCTGGAGTGATTCACGCATCCCCTGCCATCTGTGCGGGCCTTTTGTCTGTCGAACAAAGAGAGTTGAGAATGGAGGTCTCTGTCTTTCAAATGGCAGCGATTAACTTGGGGCCTTCTCCTGCATGAATCAGATCAGCAAGGCTGCAGCTAGTGACAGCGGTGAGATCCTCAACACTGAATCACTAGTGTCTCAAAATTAGTTTCAAAAGAAGCGTGTATTCCACATTGAACAGTGTCCATTAAATCTGGTACAAGAAACATGTAAATATCTGGCTGCACTAATAGGATGTAGAGAGCACTGTTGGAATGTAGACTCCTGAAAAGTTTACATTTATCTAATTTTTTATTTAATTTAATACTGTCTTTTCAGAGAAAATGCAGCGTTTACAATACAGCCTAGTGAAAACTTCACTGGCCACTCCTTAGATGGCTGCTAGAGCTGCTTCCTATCTGTCTTGCCTAGTTTGAATCACAACATTCAGTATATCCTCCCTCTGCATGCAGACACTGAACTTTCCTCATAGAGATGCATTGATTCAATTAATCTCTGAGATGATGCTGATTGGTCAGGGCTGTGTTTGACTTGTGCTGGTTCTGCCCCTGATCTGCCTCCTTCACAGTCTCAGCCAATCCTATGGGGAAGCATTGTGATTGCCTCAGAACAACACTCTTGATGATGTCAGCAGGCAGCTTGCTGTTCTGAGGCAAACAGGGACAAAACCAGCAGCTTCAGGCTTGAATACAAGTAAGATTTTACTATATTTAGGAAGGCAAGAGTGGGCAGGGGGACTAGATGGTGGTAGTAACACTATAGGGTCAGAAATGTTTGTGTTCCTGACCCTATAGTGTTCCTTTAAAGTAACGCTAATAAGATCAAATACCTGTGATGAATTTCTTTTAATTTTGGGTAGTTCTCTTGCAGTGTTGTAAAATATTTTGCTGTTTTCAGCAATGTAACCCAGCCTCCTTAGCCACCCCCTCTCAAATTCAACATGTTCCCGATTCCCAGGAAGAAACATACCTTTTCAGCCAATGAAAATCGAGGCATGTCTTGTCTAGTGTAAGGAACACACTGCACCATAGAGAAAAGGTCAGAGCCCATATGTGCTCCTCTTCCTCTCTCCCTGTAATGCAAGTAATAAATTCTCCTCCTGTACAGGTCAGCCAACCTCCCTAACCACTGTTGACCCCTTCCCTGTCAGCCAACCTCCCTAACCACTGTTGACCCCTTCCCTGTCAGCCAACCTCCCTAACCACTGTTGACCCCTTCCTTGCCATTCCCTGTCAGCCAACCTCCCTACCCACTGTTAACCCCTTCCCCTCCAACCCCTGTTAATTAATTTTGATAGCTAGGTGTATATAATATACATATTTATGTGTGTGTGTGTATATATGTGTGTGTGTGTGTGTATGTATATGTGTATGTATATATATATATATATATATATATATTTACACAAAGCTCTATAGGTGTTTAGAATTTTGTTTCTTTATAGTTATTTATAATCAACATATGACAATGTGATACCTAATGTGGTGAAGAAGTGTGTGTGTGTGTGTGTGTGTGTGTGTGTGTGTGAGAGAGAGAGAGATGTGGTATGTATCTGAACGCTGTATTTGTAGTGTAACTAAGGTTGAGTAATTCTTGGGCAGGCATTGTGGGCATGTTGAATAATGCAAATTACATCATGAAGCTCTGGTACGCCCCATAAGGCGTGTCATTACTGATTCATAGAGAATCCCTGGAGCATGGCCATTGGTGGGGCCAGAAAGTAGGGAGAAAGCAAAGGGGGAAATAACATGCAATCAGAGGAGGAGCAGTCAATCTGATCAATAAAGTTGCTTGTAAAGCTCATTTTACACTATTTTTGGGGGCAAAAGGCATTTAGTGGCAGTAGGTTTACGGGGGGAGGAGCCTTTTTGGGGGGGGGGTTTTGTTGTGTTTTTTTTTTATTTTTTATTTTTTTTTACCTATACAGTTTTTAATTCTGGGCTGACAGATGACACCCTGGTGATGCTGCCAGAGGTGGAGTTACAACTCTGGAAGTTGAGTTAAACTCTGTATGTGCAGCATTTCAAAGGATTGTTGAAGTGGTTATAGTGTGTGAACTAGCCCTTTAAATTAGGAAACCGAGCTGGCTATGTTTTTATGTTATTACTGATAATTATGTAAAAATTATTTTGAATAATTCTATGGCTATTATGGAATATAGAGTATGCTTGTAAATGCGTATAGATGAACCATTGAGAATTGAAGGTAGTTTCTTCTCGTTCATAAAACGGGGGGAAAAATACCCATTCAAAGGAAGATGTTTATGTTCTGCTAATTGGTGCATGAAATTGTCACTTAGCATTGTCTCTTAGCATCGTCTCTGACTGGATGAAGAAGCCGGTGGCAGAATGAGCATTCCCGATTCATCTACGGGAAAAGAACACGTGGTAACATGTGCCTGCAAACTCAGAATGTCAACGACTTTTCTATCGATTCCCACAAATCACCTGATTTCTGACATTGTGGCTTCTATCATTTGAATCATAAAAGATCTGTGTGTTTATTTACTAAACCATGAGCTGTGATGAGTTGATAATGAAAGATAATATAACTATGCAAGAGTAATATCTCTAAAGTAGCAGGGATGGATAGGTTTTCGCAAGTCATTGATTTTAGTGCGACTGTTCAGTCACAACAATTCACTGTTTAGTGAATAAACTCGTTTAAAAATTGCAGTTGACATGCCAAGCCACTGAGCTATTTAAGCCATCCTTTAATTATGCTGAGGTTCCTTTTTCCAGTTAAATATTTATCACACAGTCCAATAATTAAAGGAACACTATAGGGTCAGGAACACAAACATGTGTTAAAAACACCATCTAGCCCCCTGATACCACCCCCTCCCTTGGCCTCCTAAATATAGCAAAATCTTACCTTTATTCCAGTCTACAGCTGCTGGCTCTGCCTACTTGGCTGACATCATTAGAAGTGTTGCTGAAAGCCAATTACAATGATTTCCCATAGGATTGGCTAAACTTGTCAAGGAGGCAGATTGGGGAAGAGCCAGCACAAGTCAAACACAGCCTTGGCCAGTCAGCATCTCCTCATAGAGTTGCATTAAATCAATGCATCTCTGTAAGGAAAGCTCAGTGTCCCCATACAGAGGGTGGAGACACTGAATGTAAGTGCTGCACACTGCAGCACTGCCCTAGGAAGCACCTCTAGTAGCTCTCTGAGGAGTGGACTGTGGAGGTATCCCTAGGCTGTGGTGTAAACACTGCCTTTTCTCTTAAAAGGCAGTGTTTACTTTAAGAAGCCTGTAGGTAATGATGATACCCATCAGAACAAATGCAATAAGCTGTAATTGTTCTGGTGACTATAGTATCCCTTTAAATCAGAAGGACCGAAGAATGGATTGACAGGTGGGAGAAAAAACTATTTTTGAATAGATTTTTCTCCCGATCTAGAATTTACTAGCAAACCTGCTAGCACAATGTATAGATGAAACTTGGTCCTTTTTAAAAATAGCAAAAGTAGTTTTGGTCATGATAGGTGCCCTTTAATGCATGGTTAAATTAGGGCACTGCTGTGTCATCAGAGAACTTTGATGCAAATTTTCTACAATGGAATCCTGTGAAATTGTATATCTATTGTTCTCTATGCGAATTGAGACTGGGTTTAAGGAACATTTAAAAAGTAGTTTAATGGTTTCATTCGGTAAAATGGACATTGCAATTTTACATGAACCTTGTTTTGATATGAGATGCAGACATTTACTGCCTCCTGGCAATGGGGAAAGCCTCGGAAAATGAGCCATTTTTATTTTGATAATCACAGTTGGGCTGCTTAGATTGTAGTATGTTGCCCTACGGCTCATTGTCTGATGTACAGCCTGTCACGCAAGCACCATCAAGGGAGAGCGCAGTCGACACCTTATGTCACCAACAGATTAATAAAACATCTGTTTTGAGACGTCTAGCACTATGTATGATGTTCTGTATCAGGGCTATGCAGTGTTTTATGTAGAGTACAAATTACAGTGCCAAAATGATGGTAGTGTCGGAGTATACTTGCATATGCTCTATATAACATCCATATTGTAAAGGGTTGGAAAGAAGGCTTGATAGAGGGTAGAAATGGCATAAACTGTATTAACAATAGTGCTTGTGAAGAATGCTTTTAAATGCATTGGCATCGTTGACATCAGATATGCCAATAGACTTGTAGTAGTTAGTTTGCATGCTTATACCCCAGTGGGGAGGCAATAAAGATCTATTTTTCTCCTCTTCACTAGACCTTTTGATTGTGCATGGTCAAAGCTCCTCATTTCAGATTATCATGGAATCGATTTGTTAGCAGACTATTTTTTTCCAAACATTTCTGTGCTGAGTAATATCTGTCGGACCCACTTTAACCAGAGGGTCACCCGATAACAAAGCATTCTATAATTTACTGCACATGCATTTGTGTTAAATCCGTTTTTATTGAAATCAATATAGAAAACCATTTTCCCATGCATGGGATGCAATGCACTCTTGGCGAACCGTATAAGAAGCAGTGTAGGTATAGCAGTGGTACAGCGACTTTTGCCTGCACCGAGGCACATGATGTGTTAAATCAGTTGTGATTGCTTTCAATGAGTTAAACAGGTTTCCCACGCGGGGGAAGTACCGCGTACGTTGCAATTAGGATGAGATGTGGTTTCAGCTGTTTTGGTTAGCTCATATTGAGAATTAACGCATTCGCTTTGTTGCACATGCATTTGGACCAACATTTGTATTTGGCTTTTGATGTTAATTTCAGTAACTTTTCTAGATCCACTCAATTTAGTTTCTAAAACGTCTCCTGAGTTAATGAGAAAACTATGGGAATCTCGATCAGTGGAGATCTGCTAAGTAGAGAACATGCGAACTTCATAGATAAAATATTGAAAATTTTAATTATTTAAAAATCCCATTTGGATAAAGTGCCTGCTTTTGTATAGTTACGTCAGTCCATGCTGGAATTCTTTCTGGAGTCAGAAAATAGATTTGTGCTACTGAACCTGCCAACCTCATGGTCCAGAACTCAATCTAGTCTTCAGTCTACGATAGCAAAGCAAATTCTGCAGCATATTCCTGTACGGGTCTCTTGTTTGATATTGTGAGAATTGTGATAAGCCATGGAGAATCCTGCAGTAAGAAGTCTGATTGGCATCTGCAATTTCTAAGATGTTTCTACTGTAGACAAGGTCATTCTTTTCCCCAGGTGTTTCACGGTTGGGTACCTTTTCTTTAAGCTATGCTTTTCTATGCATTGAAAGTGTGTGTCTTCTTGACCTTCTAATGATTGACTATCCCATGTTCAATCTATGTATTGCAATAATTGCAAAGAGTTGTAAGAATGGTAGCCAACAAGCGCAGACATCCCTGGTCAAGTTTGGGAGGATTCTACTCCAGTGCAATTTGTGAAGCTGTTCAACATTCTAGAGATATGCTGCTAATTCTCATTTCATCTGGGCTATAGGATCATATTGCTATCTCTGTTTGTTTTTAAATAGAAGAGAATTCGGAGAAGAAGAATAAATATGTGCTCGGTGGAACAAGATGTAATAGAATGGCTGTGTATGGTGTTGTACTGGAGGGAATAGGCACCACATAATTTAGAGATAGCGTAACCGAATATAAATTGTAGTCCTAAATCCTGATATCTTGACCATTTGGAGTCTCTGGTGAGAGCCAACATTATTATTCCACTAACATTTGGAGTGCTGGTTTGTGTCCTTGCAAAGCGGATGCAGTACTTTCTAGTATACATACATTGAGTGTTTTAAATGATTTCTTGTTAAAATCAGAAGCTGTCTAAATGCTAAGAGTGTGTTACACATAACTACACTGTTTTTAAGTTAAAGGGACACTATAGTCGCCAGAGCAACTACAGCTTAATGTAGTTGTTCTGGTGAGTATAATGGCACCCTTCAGGTATTTTCATGTAAACACTGCCTTTTAAGAGTCCCTAGGGACATCTCCAAGTGGCCACTCCTAAGATGGCCACTGGAGGTACTTCCTGGCTCAGGGCTGCACAATAAGCAACCCTGCCGTTCAGCGTCCCCATGCTCTGCATGGAGACGCTGAATTTTCCTCATAGAGATGCATTTATGCAACGCATCTCTATGAGGAGGTCCTGATTAGGGAAAACAGCATTTGGCCCCGCTACATGCTGATTTTAGCCAATCCAATGCTTTCCCTATGGAAAGGCATTGGATTGTCTAAAAAATCAGCCATTTTGATGATGTCACAAAGGGAGCAGAGCCAGCGACAGCGGACCTGCACAGCGCTGGAAATAAGGTGAGTTTTAACCTAAAGGAGGGCAAGCCACCTAAATGGTGGGTTTAGCACTATTGGGTCAGGAATACATGTTTGTGTTCCTGATCCTATAGTGATTCTTTAATACTGGAATGTAAGGAATTGTGTTAATCCATCATTTATAAAAACTGGATACTTTATGCTATGCTGTAGCTACAATTTAATGTAAAGATATTTTTCAATTTATTTGGCTGGGCTGTTCTTTGAAATAGAACATACTCTCTATCATTTCTGTTTGTGAGTGTTAGGAGTTGGTAGTTATTTCCACAATCTCAGATGATCTAATTAAATGTATTTTTAATTGGATTATTAAAAAAACAATTAAAAGACCATAGTTAGGGGCCTTTTAGAATTATATGCATAATGCATTTAACTAGAAAATCCAGAAAAGGTAGCCAACGGCTAAACTTCTATCCACAAAGTGCCTGCTAAATCTATTAATATTCAATACACTTGTCTCCCTCATAGTGAACAATAAACTCTTCTCAAAGTATAACCGTATCATATCAGGTACTCACGTTTGCGTCAGCAAAATAAAGCTAGTCAGGCCTGAAAAAAATATCTTCACGCAGACCTAAACATTTCTTAAAATCCATGATTTTTTATCATTTTTAATTACTTTAGCTTAAAGTTTTAAAAAAATGGCAAACAAAATCCACACAACAGTGCAGTTTGTCCAAAATAGTTTCGTACAAAATGGGTTTGTATGTAAAACTTGTCAGGCTCTGTTCACTTGAGTTAGCATGTTCATCTCCCGTGTTAAAATTAGTGTAGGACCCACCAATATTGAGATACTGTGAATTAGTGGTGGGCTTAATATGATATGGCTAAACGGCAACTGAATTACCATATTTGTTTGCCAAGATAGGTGATATTAAGTAACCTTTCAAAATTTAAAGCTGTATTTTTATTTTTTGTTTGTGTGTGTGTGTGCTGTTCCTTTAACTGTATTTATTTTTTTTTACCAACATTGTTGTTGTGGCTCTTCCTCGAGTATAGAGCCATTCTTGAACTGTTTAACCCTGAAGTCTGTGTCCCAGCTCCGATCTCTATCTTTGGAACTCCCCCTCCTCCCCTGTCCTATCGCTATTTGGAATCTTCGATAACGGAAGGCTTGGGCATGGACGCTGCTGATTGGCTTGGAGCATCAGCTGACCACTCTAAGCCAGCTAGTAGCTCCCCATTGATTTAAAGATTTTTTTTTTTAAATTTTTTTTTTAGTATACAGTTCTGGAGGACAAGGCATGCCAAAATAACTTTTTATTTTTATTCTTTATTTTTTATTTTTTTTAATTCTCTTTTATTGAGTGATTAATGCATCATACAATACAAGGTAAATAAAAGTCAAGTCACGCAACAAATTGGTGAGAAGATTATTGCTCGTGTACATATGTAGCTGGTGGTAATCAGTTTACCAGCGGTGCGTAGTATGCTTTAAATCACAGTAGAGTATACTTTTTAGAGAGTTAGAAGGTTAGACAGCGTAGAGTCTAGCGTTTACAAACTGGATAACCACTCATTTTGTATAAAGTACATGAAAAGTTGCAGGTTAGTCAGCGGCCAAAATACATTTCTGTCTAGGTGACTTGGGTACCCCTCTGAGAAAAGGCAATTGTCTAAAGATAAATGTAATGAGATGAAAATCTCAGATTGATGGATCTACTATAAATGAGCAGTGATTGGCACAGGCTGCGGCAAATAATTGTATGAATCCATATACTGCAGTGTTATACTGGAAAAATTACTAGACTGGCAATTTAATACAAATTTCTAGTAATAAGAAAGATACCGCAATTTGGCAAACCATATAAGTAACGGGTTGCAGACGTCTGCCTTTATCTCCGCCAATAATTAGCATGCTGACTGTGCAGTATTTATAAAGCGCTATGTGGATCCAAGTGATACGTTTTATGATCTTGTCTTTTTTTTTCTTCTATTAGCATCTCAACAATAATTTTAATTTGCTTGCTTTTACTTTTCCTATTCCTGCTGCTGCCATGTTCAGGTAAGGATACGCTTTGGCTTCGGGAACCAAATCTGTCAGGAGCTCACTTCAGTGCTATACTCATTATAACAACACTGATGTCTATGGTGGCTCCTGTGAGAGCCACCATAGACAAGTCTTGTTTCTTGACCGCGTTGACTCCGCCTTTTTGTCAAGCGCAGAAAAAATAAATATGACAAAGTAGTTCCTTTTTACTGCGTTGGAATTTTATCTTTATAAAAAAAATACTCATTTGTGAATTGGGGAAGAGAGGCGCTTTAAAGAACCACTATAGTGCCAGGAAAACAAACTTTTTCCTGGCTCTATAGGATCTTTGGGTCCCCCTCCAGCCGGGCTCAAGAGCCTCGGGGCTGGGGACTCTCCTCTCTTCCGACATCATCCGACATCAAAGCTTTCCTATGGACGGCAGCATCTTCTCACTGTGAAAATCACAGTGAGAATCGCGGAAGCGCCTGTAACGGCTGTCAGTGAGACCACCACTAGAGGCTGGATTAACCCTACAGCTGCAGGGTTAACTCTAGATCGACCTGGCACCCAGACCACTTCATTGAGCTGAAGTAGTCTGATTGCCTATAGTGGTCCTTTTAGGTGATTTCAACTCCTGCAGGTTCGCTTCTGTGATTTCAACACAAGCCTCCTCTGAGACGGCAACACACCGGTTTTATTGCCAGCATGTCTCCGTCTGAGTTAAGTCAGTGCTAGCAGCGTGAGCGAGCAAGTTTCCATCACAACCACAGCGCATGCACAGTGGTTGCTATGTATAGAGAGCAGAAAGACTGACTGTGGGAGATTTTTTCTGCTTTGACCTTGTCCGTCAATTCCTCAGCATAGAGTCTATGCCGAAGATTTGACTGACAGTTGGGAGAAAGACCTATTTTAAAATAGTCCTTCACTCTTCCCACCCCCCCTAAATTATACATTTGCTTTTAATTACATGTTGGAAAAAGCCCAAAACTTTGCTAGTATTTTGGCATTCAGGTTTTTTTTACTCCCTATGAAAATGATCAGCTGTGAAAATGAAAACCTATTTTAAAATAGTCCTTCACTCTTCCCACCCCCCCTAAATTATACATTTGCTTTTAATTACATGTTGGAAAAAGCCCAAAACTTTGCTAGTATTTTGGCATTCAGGTTTTTTTTTTTTTTGGTTTTTTTACTCCTTATGAAAATGATCAGCTGTGAAAATGAAAAAAAAAAACATGAAAAGTAACAAAATATATGTGCACTTTTCATTGTTGTGAATGGGCCTGGAAAAAGCAAACGTTACACTTTTTTGAGAAATGTATGCATTTATAAGCATGTTCTTTTTGGAATGGAATTTGTGAATTTTTTTTTCTTTTTCTTTTTTTTTTTTTTTTCTTTCTCTAAATGGTGAATTAAAAGCAGACAAGCAAATTTGTCTAACATTTTCAATATATGACTATAACTGCATAGCCGATTTGTAATACATCTCTAATCAATTATGCATTTTTTTCCCCATCCGTTATTTACATCAAATCATAAATGTATAAACCCCTAAGTTTTTTTTGTTTGTTTTTAACACCTGTTTAAATTACAAGGAAATGTATTATTTTCCGTGGGTAAATACACATCTTTGTGATGTGTCAGAGGGTGTTTCTTATTAAATTCAATTAACAACTTTCCTTAAATCATGAAAAGAAAGAGATAATATAATCGCCCAGGGAGTGTATGCACCAATATATCAAAGTAACTTGTTTGTTGTTCGTCTTTAATCAGGAGTAGAGTTTAATTCCTACAAAACCTATCGTGTTTGAGACGAGAATGACATGCTTACTATGGAAACCACTCACGCCATGTAATGAAAGGTATCGCTCTGGGTTTCTGTAAGCCTCTAATCAGCTTATTTGTGGGGCTGGGTCATGTGACTGCGAGTAACCACATGTTGTTTGGATTAAACTAGAAGAAGGAATTAAGATCCTTAATCTGGAGGGCACTCGACAGGTCAGTTTAACTGTTAAAAACTTGGTCTTGAATGGCTGTATAATATTTACCCTCCCAAGAAAAACTTAAAGGGAAACTCTTAGCACCCTAAATACTTGCTTAATGTGTTTCTTGGCACAGAGACTGTTCTTAAAGTGAAACTATAGTGCTATATCACAATGCCTCCCTTTAGTGTGCCTTACACCCCTCCTCCCCCGGTGCTGCCTTTCCTACTCCTCATCGGCAGGATGGACCTAATGCGCATGGACTAGTGCTTTCCTATGGGGTTTTGGGTATTGCTGCAGAACATGAACATTTTGTGCGTTACTATGAGAAGACATGGTAGCTCTGAGCCTGCCTCCACTCAATATTGCCATCACTGGAATTTCAGGGAGACTAGCTGCATTGCTAAACATAAGAGTAAGAGCCTCTAGGCTTGGACTGAGCCTTGATTATCATATTAGGATGGCACATCTTCCTGTGTATCTGTCATGCATTATTTCTCTGCTCTTGATAAGGAAGAGTTACATTTGGAGAAAAAAATAAATGATCTGGATAGAAGTAAGCTAGCAAGTGCCGGTTGTGGCCAGCAATCGTTCATTCCATCTTAATGGTCAAAAAAACTAAACTAAACCTAGTAGGTTTCTGTGTTATTAATGAGACCAGACTTTATTTTAATGTCCTCACCACTGCAAGCCTGGAGGGTGTATGACACACTCATTTATGGGTGGATTTTTACTTGCCAAGGTTGAATTTCACTCCTCGGTGGCTAGTGGGTGAGTTGAAATTCTGAGCATTGCATGGGATACATACCTGTATTCAGGGTCGGACTGAGGATACAAAGCAGCACTGGGAGAAAACACACAGACAAGCGTATTGGTATACACACATAGTACAGACAAACTCTGACACGCACAAGCTTTCTACAGACAGGCTCACTACAAAATAGCTCACTGATACACACATGCTTTCTACAGACAAGCTCACTGTCACACAAATGCTCAGTACAGACAAGTTCACTGACACACACATGCTCCCCATAGAAAAGTTTGTAATAAACATGGTCTAGATATTCTGTGGCCACAATTTATTTTTTCCTGCGAACGAGTCATTGGCACAATGCCACACCTACAATGGAACAGATATGATGATATGCTTCTAAAACCTCGCTTTAGAGGGATCTGGTTATATATGCAGTGGAGAACCTCAGACTTTATCAAACCGTTCCAAAACAATCTGACCGAATTCATGAGCAGTATGCACCGATTAGTAGAGCTATAACCAATGTCGCACATACACACACAAGCTCACTCACTAGCAGTCACACATACACACCAGCTCACTCACTAGTAGACACACGCATGCAAGCTCACTCACTAGCAGGCACACACACACATACAGCTTAATGTAGTGGTTCTGGTGTCTATAGCCTTTCCCTGCAGGCTTTTCAATGTAAACACTGACTTTTCAGAGAAAAGGCAGTGTTTACATTGCTTCCTAATGATGCCTCTAGTAACAGTCACTCACAGTCACTAGAGGTGCTTCCTGTGTCAATGCTGTACAGTGTGCAGCACCTACATTCAGCACCTCCACGCTCTGCATGGAAGCGCTTAATGTTCCCCATGGAGATACATCAATTCAGTGCATCTCTATGAGGAGATACTGATTGGTGTAGCATTTTGCATTTGCAAAACATTTAATTGGCTGAGATCATCAAACTTGATGATCTCAGCCATAGAGGCAGGGCCAGTCGAGGGGAGACAAGCGCGGTGTGTGGGAATAAAGGGTGAGTAAAAACACTATTCCCTTGCCAATGGAAAGGGTTTGATAACCTAAACACACACATACACCATCATCACACACACCATGACAGACCTATACACTCACACTGACAGACTGACTCACACATTATTGCTATCTGTGGGATCCAGTGGGTGACCGGCCAGGTGTTTGTGCAGGTGGGCGGCATGCTGGGTGGTCGTACAGGGTGGGCAGCTGGTGGCGCATGTATGGAGCGGTGCTGTCTCTGCTCCCCAGCGTGCAACTTAATGAGACCAGGGCCGGAATATGACGTCCTATTCCGGCACTGGTGTCATTAAATAGCACGCGGTGGAGCAGAGCAGAGACAGCACAGGTCTCCCACCAGCTGTCTGCTGCCCATCGGGAAACTTCCCGGTATCCCGGTGGGCCAGTCTGGCCCTGCCTGTATTTCACCTGTGGCTCGTCATTGGGATTCCAGATGTTTTTAGCAATGATAAGCTAAATGCTGCTGTGAGAGCATGTAACCCCGCTAAGTATCAAAAGTGTTCTATGTCTGCTCTTGGGCTGGCTCAGTATCAAGAGAGTGTGGAGCCTTCTCTCTAGCTGGCTCAGCACATTTAGAGCACTGTGATCACCAGATTGATCACCAAACCTTGCTGAATGCCATGGAAGCAGAAAGCCTGGCTGACTGAGGATGATGAGAAATGTAGTCCACAACAGCTGGATAGGCAAGGATTCGTCATCACTGACCGAATTCTTCTGTCGTGGCCATTGAAGCCAAATTAAACAATCCACACCTAAATGTTTTAAGTCGATCCCCTGCCAGCAGTTTTGGCTTCTCTTGCTGGTCCTTAACCATTTTCTTACCCTTCTTAATTATATGTAGAGTATCGTTCTGTAGCAGCTGTGTTTTTATGGGGGTTTTTTTCCCTCTCTTCCTTTTAAACTTGGCTTGGTGTCTGCCAATGATGACAAAGTCTTTCTCAAAAATGTATATACATCCCTTCTACCACTCCTTAAAACTACACTTTAAGGATTATTCGCTTGAGAATTCAAAGTGAATTTCTAATTAAAGATCAAAATATCCCAACTGTAAAAATTCTCCAAGTCACCTTTGCTTTGTTTCTATTTTTACCTTAAATTTGGAATTTTCACTTTATTAAATAACCCTCAGTTTGTCATTCTGGCATGATAGATTGACTCCTAGTTTGATGTTTGTATTTATTGTATCTTTAATATGTGATGCGCATTTTAGAACCAATACTCAAAATGGAATGCTAACATCTAAAGTAACAACCTCTTCAATAACTAGAAAAACAAATTGCTATTGATTGTGTGAAATGTTTAACAAAAATCTTTGTGTTGATGTGATGGCAGGGTCAGTCTCTGACTATTTTGAACTGGAGCTCCATGTGCTCGTGGCGTACCCCTTGCTTTTGGTGTGCATACCACAGGTAAAGAAACCAGTTTCAGATACAGCAAATGTTATGCTTCTGGGGTAAAGGAACTTTATAGTCCCCCCAAAAAAGTGGCTTAATAAAGCCGTGATGGTGTACAGATCATGTCAGTGCAGTCTCACTGCTCATTTCTCTGCCATTTCTGAGTAAATCACTTTTGAGTATGTTTATCCAGCTCATGCCAACCTCTCATGGCTGTGACTCACACAGCCAGATGTTAACTTACTTTAGACATTTTTATCTCCTGCTCTGTAAATTGAACCTTAATTGCACATGCAGGTAGGTGTGATTAGGGCTGGATAAACAAAGTTATTTAACTCCTAAATGGCAAAAGATTGAGCAGTGAGACATGATCAATACATCAAAACCGCTTCATTAAGCTGTTTGGTGACAATATAGTGTCCCTTTTAACACACCTCTAGTGGTAGAAAGCCACTAGAGGCACTTTTGATAATTCGCTCTATTATTCAATCAAATGCTGCTCAGAGAGTGAGCTTGATTGTCTCAATGTTTTGCCATGAATGCACCGCCAAGGGGAAGCTTTGGATTGTCTGAGATCATAAAGATATTTTGGGCTAAAACAGCATTAAAGGGGCACTATAAGCACCTGGGCCACTTCAGCTCATTGAAGTGGTCTGGGTACAGTGCCCCTATTGCAGTGCCCCTATTGCAGTGTCCTTATTGTTCCAAAGAAACAGCAATGTTTACATTGCAGCACTAAGTCTGCCTTCAGTGGCTGGATCCAGAAAATTCCTCCAGTGGCTGTCTGATAGACAAATGGGCCATTGGTCGGTAAGTGATGCTGGACGTCGTCATGCTCCACATATTCACATCCAGCATCAGATTGTCCCACGTAGGAAAGCATGACTTCGATGCTTTCCTATTGGGAGGTCTAATGCGTGCGCAGCATGTGCCGCGCATGCTCATCACGGGATGCCGGAGGAGGCGGAGCCGTGATCCAGCGCCGAGGGACATCGGCGCTGGGGTAATGTCAGTAAATAAAAGGTTTTTAACCCTTTTATTCACGTTGGTAAGGGGAAGGCAGAGGAAGCTATAGTGCCAGGAATACAACTTTGTATTCCTGGCAGTTGTAGTATCTCTTTTAACTGATGTAGCATTCTTGGGACTGCTTTTTTTTTTTTTTTTTTTTTTTTTTTTTAATTTATTTTTTTACAGCTTTGCATCCAGCTAGTTGGAAGTACATTTAGCAATTACAGTGAATAATTTACAAAACAAATGCATATTATAAGGGTATGTTTTGTAGAAGATAAAGAATGCAGACAGCCATCTGCATTGTACCGTTTGCAAATTACAGGAATTATTTCCCTCTATATTGATGATCTGATACTATGTCTGTCTGTTTCTTTTGTCATTTTTATGTGGTTTGGCTTTCTGTATTGTGGTACCGCCATTATTTCAAATGGTCTCCTACAAAACAGCAGAGGAGTTTGGGGGATGAGGTGGGACAGATACTCTGGACTGTATCATGACGAGTTATCTGTAAATTCCATGTTACTTTGACATAAGCCATGTCCTTGTTGTGTTTTCATAGCAGCTGATCCTGTGTGCTCCTCTTCCTGCATTACCTGTTTCTTTTAATCAGAAATCAAAGTCTCAACCTGTCTCTGTTTATTCTGCCCCCCCAGGATAGATATGTCATTGTGCACTCTTGGTTTCCCACGGTGTTCTTTAAAGGAAACCAGTCATGGAAAACTTGTTTTCATGGCCTGTACTTTTAAATGTAGTTCAGAATTATAACATATGTTCTTTTTAAATGTTTTGCTGATGTAGCATATTTTTTATTTTTTATTTTTTTCTTCTTCGTCTTAATCTTACTTATTTAGTCTCTATAATACGCAATACACCGGGGTTTGTTCACTAAGAATGAAGTAATAGAGAATTGGAAACTAAATAGTACAATTTAGGTAAAAAAAGCTGATTCTGGGCTATTTACTAAAGTGAGAATTCAAAGTGAATTTCACCTTTAAAGCCCAAGTTACCAAAATTAAAGGACCCAGACCACTTCCTCTTGAGAAGTGGTCTGGGTGCAGTGGCCCTTTATAGTTTTAACCCTGCAATTTAAAACATGGCAGTATTGTTAAAACTGCAATGTTTTAATTTGCAGGGTTAAATACATCCCAATGTGGCTGTCTTCCTGACCATCTCTAGAGGTGCATCTCGTGTGAAAACCGAATCCATTTAAATCAGATGCTGCTCCCAGAGAGCATTTAATTGGTGCAGAGAGGTTTGCCGTGAACACTAGTTGCCCCGAAGCTTCCCTATGGCCAAACATTGGATTGGCTGAGATCATCAAAATTGATCCCAGCCTGGGCGTTGAACCGGTGAGACCAACACTGCTATGGTCTCAACTTTGCTATTTTTAGGATTTTTCAATTATTTTATTTATAGATCGCCAGCAAATTCTGTAGCACTGTACAATGGGATAATTATTGGATATGTTGATATACGGTATGTTACTCCTTTCACTACAGTCCGGTGTTTCATTAACAAATACACAACGTTCAATTCAGCACATAAAAGAAGCAAACACATATGTGAGTCATAGAGATAGAGATCTAGAAATAAACTGTGGGTGGTTTTTTTTTATTTTCTTTTTCTGTCTTATAATGAATGGAACATTGATAGAGAAGACATTCCATGTATATTAACCCATTGATCCTGCTGGCACACAAAGCTCACCTTTAGAATCTATTATTGGACCAATATGCTCTCTATATAACAAAGCAAATTTGACTATTAGGTTTAAAAGGATACTCCAGGCACCAATACAACTTTGATAGATGCATTTGATAGATTTTGTCCTCATTAAGATGCTGTATTTTTTTGCATGCTCAAACCTTTATAGTTTATGCACTAAAAAAGGTTTTGCAGAATGCTGTATCATAAGCCTGTCTCCTAAGCGACGCCTTTCATGTCAGAAAGATTTCTTATCAACCACATGCTCAAAGTCTCAGTCACAACAGCACTGAGTGGGAGTCTTAAATTACAACCTGGCTGCAGACAGTCTGAGAAACTACAAACAGGTGATATCCTTCTCATTCAGTACTGTCACTAGCTGAGCTGTGTACATATCTTTGAAAAGGAAGTCTTTTTCTGAAGTGCGGGGGTGTGGCTAAAGAGGCAGGCTTACGGTGCAGCATTCACTCAAAACATTAATTGTTTCATGAAAAAAACTAAAGATTTGAGCATGCAAAAAAATACACCGTCAGTGGCAGAACTAAAGACAGGACCCTGGTGCAAGGGTGGCCAAAATATAGATTTCCCATTTGTCGTACAACTCCCACAATACTTTGCCAGCTGTGGATTTTACCATTTGTCCATCCTTGCAGGGTTGTATTTAGAACTGAGCAGTTTTTTTTCTGTGTTTGAATGTAAGCATGTTTGTATGTTGTATGTGCGTGTGTGAATGTAGGGGTGAATTTGTGTGTAGTGTGGTGTGTTTTCATGTGCTGTTTTAAAAGTTTAGTAAAAGATATACACACATGCAAACGCAGGACACACACTAACAAACATACAGATATACACAAGCAGAAACACAGATGCACAGATACGCACACTGACACATGTAGATACATACATATACAAGGACTCACAGAAACACACTGACGCCCATGCAAATATGCATACACACTGTCATGCCAAAAGCATGAGTTGGTGTTTGATGTGTGTTTATATATGTTAAGAGTTGTTTTTTTGTAAACCTTGGGATGACATTTATTGTGGTCTTTGATCTTGCACCAGGCCTAGACCATAAAACATCTAGATAGCCATCACCAGAGCTGGACACAAGGAATTTCATAGAGTGGGCAATAGACTGCCAGACCAACCCCCTCTGATCCCCCCCAGGGGTCTGCCCACTGAGAAACAACTAGTTTAGATATATGAGGGTGTTGGACTATCCAGGGAGGTCAGTTATTCATTTTTTCTTTTGTCAGTAACTTCTAGGAGACCTATACCATCTAAGACTCCCACAAGAATTCTATATGGGGTAAATATATGTAAGGAATTTCTTGTGTTTTCTCCTATTTTATTTTATGTACTGTTTTGCAATTTGTTATCTGTATGTCATTTATTTCTGTATTTTGTACTCAGCACTGTGAATCCTTTTTGTCAGATTAAATGTTTACTTAATCAGCTTGTGTCTCTGTTCTCTATGAGCTTCACTCTCCAGAGGAAAGCTCAGGTAAACACGTTACCAAAAAGGGTTAACTATATATGTTTTATCAGTAAAAGTAGAACTGTGATACTATAATTCTCCTGTGTGTGGGGTAACCTAAGACGCCCGGGTTTAAAAGTCTTGGTGGTGGCAGTAGAGTATGTACAAAGGGGGTTAGTGTAGAAGGGATTGCAGGGGTTAATTGAGTGGTTGCTGGGACTAGCAACAGGTAACCAGGGGTCTGGTGTCATTAACCCTGTCACTTCCACACTCTCCTCACTGTCTCGGCTGGGCCTATAGCCCACGCTCGTGACACACACACTAACACATATGCAGTTACACAGACACACAGAATGATACAGACACACAAACACCCACGCATGCAACATCTAAATTTCTTAGCCACCCTCTTGTTTCCTACCTTCTGGGTCCAGACAGCTGCCTATAACTCTCCCAGTCCACACTACCTCTTCTCCGCCTTACTCCTGCGCGGCTCTGTGTTAGCTTGGAGTAAATGATCGGCCAACAGAAGGGTCCCCTCAGCATGTGTGCCCCAGTGCAGCTGCACCAGCGGTTATTCCGCCGCTGTACAGCATAAGACCAGAATCTATCAAATGCATTAAAATCATGTTGATGCCTGGAGTGTTCCTTTAAAGGACCACTATAGTGCCAAGAAAACATACTCGTTTTCCTGGCACTATAGTGCCCTGAGGGTGCCCCTCCCGCCCGGCTCTGGGGAGAGGAAGGGGCAAACACTTGCCTTTCTCCAGCGCCGGGCAGGGAGCTGTACTTCTCCTCTCCTCTTTGCTCGCGACGTCATCGGCTGAATGCGCATGCGCGGCAGGAGCCGCGCGCGCATTCAGCCGGTCGCATAGGAAAGCATTTACAATGCTTTCCTATGGACGCTTGCGTGCTCTCACTGTCAAAGATCGGTCAGGTAGCCTAAATAATCCCGGTCTAGTAATGGCTTCCACAATGATATTGTATAATTTTGCCTATAGAAAACTACATTGTTTAACACGTGCTTTTTATCTTTTGGCTGCTTTTCTGCTACTGCAAGATCAATTTGGGGATCTGACATGTGAATTTACTAACCTGCTGTAGAGAAACGTAAAAAAAAAAAAAAATCAAACCACAGGAGCCTTGTTATCTGGCATTTACAGGCTGACTTTGAAATGTGAAGTCTGAAGACAGGCTTAATGAAGTGAAATGGAGTATTAATTATCTAGATGGGCATGGTTGAAGCTTCACGAGATGAGCATTGAGAAGGGTACACGCACAAGACAAGTCTTCTTTGTAGTGACTACATTTTTTGTTGTATGTATCTAGAGATCCTTCAGACCTTTTAATAAATACTTGCACTGAATCTATGTAGCTCGTTCTCAGTTCTGATAATCAAGGGTTCGAATACGAATCCTTCTGAACATCGCAATTTGGCTGGACTTATTTGTATTCTTAAAAAAACGCGCCAGGCAACATCACTACTATGGTGCTTTGTATTGGCTATAGAACCAGGAGTGCTCTGAAATTCCCCATCCTCCATGGTATTCTTACCCAAGGGCCTGCCCCCCTTTAAGAATAGTTTGACTTTTTATCTGGGGTCTGCTGGGCATGGCTTGGCACTTCCACTACATCCACCAGAGTACTTCTCCTGCTTAGGAGTTTTCTTTGGCTGTCAGCTGATTTCATCAGCTGATTCCTCTCACCCAATGAGCTAAGCTCTGCACTGCCAATGCCATCTCAGACAGAAAGCTTCTTGCTCTACATCAGTAGTAGAGGCAGGTAGCAGTGCCCAGCAAACCATAGGTTACATGTCAGTGTTCTAAAACCATTCTATAAAAATCACTGAATCCAATGATTCTCATAGAGAAACTTTGAGTGCACACAGTGACTGTTGTCAACATACTGACATCGGACATCAAAATGTGTTCGGAATTGAATCATTTGAATTGTCTAGTCAGGAGCCTCTAGGCTTGGAAAATGCAAAAGGTAAACGGCCATGTCTACAACAGTAAGTATGAAGGTCAGCAACTGTGCTCCAAAATCTCTTCATTAAGCTGAAATGGCTAGCATGTAAGTTCATTGAGTAGGGCCCTCAACCCCTCTGTTCCTGTGCGTCCATTTGTTTAGTTACAATTACATGTCTGATAGTCCACCCATTGTACAGCGCTACAGAATTTGCTGGCGCTATACAAATAATAAAATAATAATTTGGGTGCTTAGACTGACCCTTTAACACAGGTTATTGGTGATTTTTTGTGTTTTTTATTACATTATCTAAATTCCTGACAAGTAACTGTTCTGCTCCTACGAACACACAGTGTAATGTGCCTGCATGTGTTGCTTTCTGAGTAATAACAATTTCTTATCAGGTAATTATTTAGTTGGCATCAAAGCAGATCTAAATAGATGTCCAAATTTCTTTTTCCAAGTAGCAATGTGTACCGGCAGGCAATGCATCTATATCAAGGTTGACAATTAGAATATACTACCTTTGAAGACCTCTGTGTGTGGGCTGGCTGTACCTCAATGAAGGGGTCGTGGGGAGTGTACAAGTGATAAGGGAAAGGTCAGGGCAAGAATTTCTGGGAATGTGGTGCGGAGACTTAGGAAAAGAATTCTTCTTTAGACATTCTATCAGGTCTCTGGAAATAATGTTTATTTTACCATGGTTTGGGAACGGTTTTCTGTCAGATGTGAAATGTATTAATAGATCTCTGCCCATTATTCATCATTAAAAGGGGAGGGGGTCATGTTATCAGATCTGAAAAATTTAAGATGACCTTCCAGAAAGTATTGAAATGTCTACCTGATTGAGCTCTGAAAGGATCTGCCACTCTGAAGCTGTGATTTAACCATATGTGTAATAAATGTTGCTGTTCAAATATTTGTTGTTGGGATTTTTTTTTTTTTTAACAATAAAAGGAATAAAGCCCACACCTATTAATAGGTACTCCTCTGATACAATGTTCTCACATATAATGTATACATTCCTGTCTGCAGCCAGCTTCCAGACTCATTCTCAGTAGATTTTGTTTATTTATTTTACCTTTGTTTGGTTCTTCTATGCAAACTACAATTCCCATCATGCCAGATATAAAATCAAATATTGGGGCACTAAGTCACCTAGTAGGGGGAAGGGCTACTGCACATCCCATTTTAGCAACTCTGTCATTCATAATTTCATTAGTGATAAAGTGAATTCAAAGTGATTTAAAATTTAAGGACAACAAATTGGAATAATAGCCAACGTGGTACCATATATACATTTATTATTATTATTATTATTATTATGCCTGCAATCAGTGAGGGACTTAGTACTGTTTTTGGGTGGCAAACGAGACTTGCTCCCAGACACCTCATAACCTTGCTGTGCATCTTCCATTTTCCGCCTCCCCATTCCCCATTATTCCTTCCCTGTTTTGTTTTTGTTTTTTACGGTTTTTATGTAGGAAAGTATATCATAGATTTCTCTCATTCAATAAACCCTAAACTGTGTAGGATTTAAATGCAAATTGCAACATTTGGGCTAATCATGGTGGCTTATTTAACCTCAAAATGTCCATTCAGAATTGAGTTCAGAATTTAGTTAATAAACATCTTTGTGTATTGGACTGACAACAAAGATTACCAAAGTAACAACATCATATTGTGCGGTTAGACAGACTGGTGGAACTTTTATGAGCCAATGGGCTAAAAAGCCTCCCCCTCCCATTGCTTTCATTGATTGTGCATTGTTCTCTTTTAGTTTGAATATTAATAGGTATTTGCCTCATCTGCTGGGATAAATTGATATATGACCGGATACTAAAAACACGAGTATCATGAATAATATAGAAGAAAAAAAGAGGAATTGAAGCTATAGGGAAAGCACTCATAGTGGGGTTAACCCACACAAAACTACCAAGGTAGTAATTACAAAGACAGAACAGTTGAGTGCCCTACAAATAATAAAAAATTAACTTTTAATAAATAAGTTAAAAATCAAGTGTAGATAGCCTGATATAACACAAAGTAATGAGAAATAATACTCTCTATACAATTAGTTGCAATGTATTATAGTATAGAGATTGCAATTCTAAAGTGATAGTCCCTTGTTAAGGGTTAAAAATAACATCTAAACATGTAAGATAAGGAGTACATTAGCAAAGGAATAACAAATACAGAGGACCTGTTCAAAAGTTTTCAGTGAACCTCTGGCAAATGAACACTGCATCAATACAATGTTGCAGTATATGATCAACTATGACACAAATTATAGTACTAAGTTCGGTCTAAGAGAAGTCATGTTGCAAATGGTATTGAATGACTTACCGAAAAAAGAAGTCTATAATCACAAAAAATTAAAATAAAAACTGTAGAGAAATCTTATGAGCGGATTATCAGTAAGTGAAATATCAGTGGCCCCTTATCAAAAGTAGTAATAAAGTAAATGATAAATAGAGTGCCACAAATACGTTCATATACAGGGGGGAGAAAACCCCAATACCTAAAACCGCCCAATTCTAACAGTCATATATAATGGGATTCTGAGGGAAGTGTGGACAGTATGGTAAGTATCCCACACTGCAAGGTATTTGCAAAGAATCGCCGACAGCCCCTAATAGTGTCATAGTTGATCATATACTGCAACATTGTATTGATGCAGTGTTCATTTGCCAGAGGTTCACTGAAAACTTTTGTACAGGTCCTCTGTATTTGTTATTCCTTTGCTAATGTACTCCTTATCTTACATGTTTAGATGTTATTTTTAACCTTTAACAAGGGACTATCACTTTAGAATTGCAATCTCTATACTATAATACATTGCAACTAATTGTATAGAGAGTATTATTTCTCATTACTTTGTGTTATATCAGGCTATCTACACTTGATTTTTAACTTATTCGTGAATAATATAGTTCACAAATATCCATCAAAAACACAAGCACGATTAATCACTAGAATGTAAACTGTCAGGGTTAAAACCTCAGGGTTTAAAAGCAAAATATTAGGATTGTTTGATGTAGGATAATTTAAAAAGTGGAGAGAAAATATAACTACTGGAGAAATGTGAACGCATCATCAAGATAAGCTAAATAAAAATATTTAGACATAATACAGCCCTGGCAGACAGATGGTTGGAGGAGACACATGGATGTGTGCCCGTCTGACAGGTTTTGAAGCTAATAAACATTTTAATTATGTACACATGCTTCTCTAGGTCTGATATGCACCATTATGCATAGTCGATGCCAAATGGGGCACACAAGTAGCCTTGCAAATCAAGTGGTACCCGGAGGACAGTATTAAATACTTGTACCAAAGATTCTCGTTCAGGTTTCATGCAAAACTGAATACTCCCACCTGGATTAGGCTAACATTTCATTATTTTCTAGTTCAGTAATCTGTCGATTTTCAAACCTTTGAAAACAAGACTAAAAAACCTCCTCCTCCAAAAAAAGTAGTGAACATTTCCGACCTATTGGTACCCGTTTTTATATGTGTTGCATGTTGCAGGATAGCATTAATCTGTCCTGTTAGAAAATGTGAATGAGCTAACATTTTCAATAACTACTTGCAAAAACATAACATTCAGAGAGATCATTTTTAATTTGTGGGTTAATAGCTTCTTAATCCAAGGAGATATCGGACTGCCATTCTGGGCCCAAGAAGTTATTTTTTCCTAGTTTATTGAAAAATTGGAAAGAGCTTCAAACTGTTTAGTTTTTTTTTTGCCTTCTTTTGGATCAACAGCAAAACAACAAATGTGATGAAGGTGAACTTGATGGACGCATGTCTCTTTTCAACTATGCACTATGTAAAGAAATATTTTAGTGCAGATTTTCGGGGTATTAGAGTAAGAGGGATAATGCTCCTAATGGAGTATAGATTTGTAGAATGGTTGTTCAGCAGACTAAGTAGACCTATAGTTGAGAAAATTTCTAGTGTTCTGCATGTCATGTATACAACAAGATCACAATCAGGTGGGCAAGCATTTATTCTATATACACTTTCTGTATGTGAAACTGCCAACTGATGTTCAAATTTTAGGGGCACTAAAACCATTTCCAGTAATTTAATTGTTTATAGTGCCTGGCGGACCCTCGTCCTATCCCTCCATTCAGTGTTTAACTATTTTTAAGTAGTTTAACACTAATTGAGGGTCCCTGGTCCACTGCCTAGCCCCACTGGATTGGCAGATAGACTACACTTCCTTTCCATACCAGAAATTGGCAGCCTGGAATATCCTGGTCAGCTGGCACTCTCAGCTATTTAATGCTACCCGTCGCTGCTAATGTTTCCTCATTAGCCCAAGCAGCAAAGAGTGGGTGAGCTGCTGGGGACTCATTTAGCATTAAACACTGAACGGGACGGCTGCGCCAAGGGACTCCAGATACTAAAAACACTTCAGTGAGATGATACCATTACATTGCCTACAGCGTCCCTTTAAAATATACTGAGTTGAATTTCCCTTTTCTTACCTAACATGGCTTTCTTAAAAACATAGACACTGTGTCTTTTCGGAGCAGGATGGTTGAATGCACCATTACAAGGCTGCACAATGCGGTCATGAATCTTGCAATGTAAAGATATGTAATAGTTATTTTCATTCAACTTTTTACCCTCTTTTATTACAGGCTCACCTGATACGTCTGTTTCGGCACACTACAACCAACTTGCTCATATATCGAACTTGTCACAAATACAGCTTTTGTCCCCGACTAGCTATCTATCTATCTATCTCTATATATCTAGATGTAAAAAAACAGATAAAATTTGTATCTTGTAATACCCTTTTTATTGGACTAACAGAATTATTTTAAGGACAAGCTTTTGGGAGAACCTCCCTTTCTCAAGTCTGAAGCATTTCTGAGCAAGACGACACATAGAATTCATATATATGTGTGTGTGTGTATGTATATGTGTGTGTGTGTGTGTGTGTGTGTGTGTGTATATATATATGTATGTGTGTTTCCCTTTTCTCTCTCTTGGTGATCTTAACACAAGATATTTACGACCCTCTATGAGAATGGTGCCTATTTTCTATTTTTCTTATCTACACTCCTGTCGCTTTAACCCCTGTATCACAACTCAACTTTGAATTCTATGTGTCATCTTGCTCAGATATGCTTTGGATTTGAGAAAGTTCTCTCAAAAGCTTGTCATTAAAAAATTTGGTTTGTCCAAGATACAAATTTTATCTGGTTTTTACATCTACATCACTGGACTAATAAGGCTACAATCTCTACTTGAATATATGAAAAAAAAATATATATATAATCATTTGCTAGCAATTTGTCTTGTGTAATATATACAACAATTTAAATGTTTAACAATGACAACAAATCACTTTGGTCTTGACATTAATGTCTTCGCTTTTGCCCATGGACAATAATGGCATTTGCAATTAAGTAAAAATGATGGCTTGCTGCAGACAGGATTTGTCCTCATTTTTATGCTCATATTTGTGCATTAATCTCCCTGTTTTTTCCTCTGCATGAAAATAATCTTTGAGGACTTGCTTGGCATTTTATAGATTTTATAATGTAGCATTATCTAAGAAATAATTTAGCTTTTTTATTTTTTATTTATTTTTTAATGGGAAATCTACTTTTTACTTTTTTATTTTCTATCATAATGTGCATCGGTGCTGTTTTTACACTAAAGGGCACTCCACTCACTATAACCATTATAGCTTGTTGTATCGTTGCAGCTAATTTTGGTATTCTGGTTTATTGCAGTGGTTATGGTGCTAGCAAGCTGTTTTTTCAAAACGTAAGGTTTTAAGTTCTCAGTTTCTGTGATTTGTGCAGTGTGAACCAGCATAGCAAATTGTTGCACGCTACACTGATCAGGAAATGACAATGTACACACTACAACACAACATTTGGATGTGAATGAGTCTGATTTAATTGGTGTGAGCAGACTTCTGCTGCCCAAAAAAGTTGAATGGGAAAGATAGACTTCCCCAAATGATGTCCGGTAAAGCTGGGGAAAAAAAGCTGGGAGGATTTTAAAAAGATTTTCAGCGGTTCGTAGCAGCATAATCTCTACAACAAGCGGTTATAGACTTGGTGTGTTGATGGTCTGTCTAACCCCACAAGGACATGATAATGGACTACCTTGGGATTTACTGGTTTTCTTTAAATATCTTTTTGCAAAATGTTTTGGAATGTTCCACTCACTTTGTGATTTTATTATATATATTTTTTTCTTTCAGATTCCTCTTCCAACTACATCCGCCAGTTGGAAACCAAAGTCAAACTCCTCGAGGACGACAATAAGGTTTTAACACAGGTACTATAGCTATTTTTTTATTTTATTTTATGTAATCAATTCTTTTTCTTGCTCAATATTTATTCCATTCTAATACCATAACTGGGCAGTTAATCCACATGTAATCACTTTTAAGCCATCATTGGGAATACGTTAATTAAACTGAAAATTGATTTATTTTTTTTCCATTGCTTTTAGTTTAATTTCTTTTATTCTGGAAAGAAATCCAAATTCTTGATTGCTGCACTTGTAACGGTTACTATAATTGCTGGTAATTGGACTGTCGATTAATTCCTTAAATCTGTTCAGGGACTTGTGAAGGACTAAATCATAGCATACTTTTTTTTTTTTTTTTCCTGTTGGGAGATGTGTGACAAACAAAGGGTAGTTTGAACTGAACATTTCTTATATCTATATAATTTTCTGGTCTGATCTGCTTCCTTGTGTAACTATAAATGATTTTAAGAACTGGACTCGGGTTGGTAGCAGTGCTTGGTGTAGTTGGTGTAAGATGATGAGGGGTCCAATGCTTATGTTTTTGGGTGTGTAATATTCCTGGCCATACCTTAGAGAGTGGGCTGGCCTGGAGGGTGCAACCAGTGACGTAACTTGACTCACTAATGATGCTCAAAATTGGCAGTCCTGACAATATGTGTGTGTCCACCTGACACACATTAACTCTCACACGGACCATCTTAGGACATAACATGAGTGATGCATAGAAAAAGCCTGTGTAATGATGCGCTACCACTTTGTTGACTGGGGACAATTCCCTGTTATCCCTTATCTGGGGACATTAGATAACAAAGTCAGGATGGTGGGATAGGACCCTGAAAACTGCTTTCCAAGACCTCATAACTTCATATGGATGTGTAACACATGCAAAGTGATGCCTTTATTGCGCAACCTTTTATAGGGTTTCATTTTTTGTGAGTTACCATCACTATTTATAAGTGATATTGGTCCAGGAAAACATGGTTGATCTGCCAACCCGTCCTAGGGTACAACTTTTTTGCTTCTCTGATAAACTGCTAGGGGAAAAATGTGGTTGTAGCGGATGAAATTTCTTCTGGGGTCAGCTACATGTGGGACACTGCCCACAGCTGCTCCACCTCTAATCCAATCACATATGTTCCAACTGTCCTTATTTAGGATGAACAGCCCCTTGGTTGGACTTAAGTTGCCCTGTCCCCCTTTTTAAATCCTAGAATTAAAGTGTCACTCTTTGTTCATTTGAAATGTTTGGATCTATGAAATCATGAGACAATTTGTGCAACAAAAATAAATTAACCTTGCTTTTCTTTATACCTATGCGTGAGGTTTGACCGGAATAAACACAGAATTAACTCTGTATCTGCAAATTCTGCTTTGGATAAATTATTGGTTCAAAATAGACCACTTTTTTCATGTATGTTTGCTCTACATGTCTTACGTAGTCTCTCTCTGTTTATATTGAGACTATATAACAAGAACTTCGTTGAGACATTGTAGCTTGCAGAAATGCTATCAAAATAGTCCTAATTGTGATGTATACACGCTAAAATTGACAAAAGAACACAGCGTTTATATGTGACCTTTGTGCAGATCCTTGTTATAACAAAACAAGGGGGGTGCTGTTCGTCATGTTGCTTTGTTCAATGAATTCTTAGGAAGATGTCAGTTTAATGTATGATTAATGGAGTATTTTAATAATATAGGACTTATTTAGGGAGTTTATTGCTGAACATGTGCCGCCTTTTTTCTGGGACCCTAGACTGGACAATCTTGCAGAATTCCTAACTTGTCCTTAAAGAAATACTCCCACCCCACAACAATTAAATTGCATTATAGGGGGAGGAGTGTCGGGAACCATTTTGCCTTCCTTCTATTCTTTTCCATATGGTTTACATACTATTTCTTTCAATGGGTGGGCAGTGATAGGCTGAGAGTGTTAGCCTATCACTGTCTGCTCAGTAAACAATCCTTAGACTGCAGAGGCTGGTAGGACAAAATAATGGAGGCAGAGAATTCGGGGCTTTTGGCTTAAACCTTGGAAAACTGTTTAAACCCTTTAGTTAAGATGGCGCCCAGACAGTCCTGCCCTAGAACACCTCACCCGTCAAGTAGACACACACAAATACTCATTCATATACAGAGACTAGCAATACTAACACCCAGCAAGTAGCATGCATGCACAGGCAGGCGCACGCAAATGTACTTTGGAAGATGAATGCTTGTACTCATACATATATACAGACTTTTACATGCACACGCATCACTCAGACACACACACACACACCACTGTCCACCATCCAGAAATGTGAAATTGCTCCGTTAAGCCTTTCTCACTTGTGATCTAGGCTAGGGCCCCATTCGCCCTGACCAAGGAGCGGGGGCCTTCAGTCCTGACACAGTCAGGGCAGAGTCGGATTAAGATTGCCCAGCGCCCTAGATGCCATTTTGGGAACCCCACCTAGAGCCCTGGGCTCTGTTTCTGTGAGTGTTGTGTTTGTGCATAGTGGCTGCAAGCTGTAGGTGGAGAAGATTTCGGAAGGCTCATTGTGCCTGTGTGAGCTGGCTGCGTGCAGTGTGTTTGTAGTGTCTGAGTGTGTATGTTTTGATACCCTCCTGCCTGCCTTTCCTTACTGAAAGGGGAGCTGGGCCCCTGGTGCTCTGTTAATAATTTGGAGTTCTTTGTTGGAAGCAAGCTCTTGAGGGGGCACGAGGACGATCACGGAGATCTTTTGATCTTCCTGTTGGCTCAACGAGGGCCCTTCACAACCAGAGCTGGAGTTGAATGCACAGAGGAGCCCATGGAATCCCTGTTTGAGCCTGGGCACTAGGTGGCCTCCTATGCATCCATAGACTTGATATGGAATTGCATGCAGGGAGAAGTGCAGATAAGTTTTTAAAATTGTGTGACCTACTAGTTCTGCATTTTTGTGCTGCAATAATCCCCTGTATTTTAGACAAAACAGATAATTAGAGTTTCAGGGAAAGAGAAGAAAAATACGAAACCCTCTCCCTTCACAGCACACATAACTGAACCATATAATATTCGGTATTCTGATTGGTTGGCTGCTTTTTGTTTCTAGCCAGTTAGAATTGAAATGACAATTATCTTGCACCGAAATGATATTAAAAAAACGAAGACTGGGTCTGCTCCATAACTATAGCAACCTCATGGCCAGGGAATATTCCAGTCTATCTATATCATCACGTGTCTGACATTTCATTTCCCATAAGAACCTCTTAGCTGACCTGCTTTTTTCCCTATATAAATTGAAAAGTTGAGTACATTTCTGAATAAATGTCACTTAAATTGCCATCTCTGTGCATAGACAAAATGTTCACTTGTGGCCATGTTTTTATACATGTATTTTTCACATGCTGCCTTCTTTATGAATACATGCAATTTTTGTACTTTTTACAAACATGTCAGATTTTTTTTATTTTTTTTATTTATGTAGGTGCCATTTTCATGTATTGCCCTGTTCGCGTACACGTGATGTGCACATTAACTCACAAGTGGCACACAAGGAGTCATAGAAAATCACTAATTCTTAATTTAGTCAATGCGCTAGGCTTATGAACGTTTTGTTTGAATTTACATGAATATCATGTAGATGTACCTGCTGAAACAAGTATCCAATGGGTTAATTCCAGCTGGGATGAGAAATGCCAGACTCTGTTAATCTTTGCAATCTCAGCTAGCATAGGCTTTGCATCTATGTTAACTGCATCAGTGCCAGTTTATCTCCAGAATCTGAATGTGCTGTGCAGGCACCTTAGGTCTTCAGTGCTTCTCTGTGAGAAGCATCTAATTGGACCAGAGATCATGAAGCATCTCACCTTGATCAGAATCAGGCTTCAGCGAGAAGATTTTGTAAGTGCTAGATTACAAGTAAATTATTTTTAAATCTAACATTTAATAAGAAATGCATCAAACTTAAAAATCAATATTAACAATAAATATATTTATTTGAAGCGAGAGAGTGGGTTATTTACTAAAGAGAAAATTCAAAGTGATTTTAAAATTTGAGTAGCCGAACTGACAGCATATCGTAGATTTATTTCTGATATTTTGACCTTAAATTTTAAATTTGTTTTTAATTCACATTGTAATGTCACTTTAGTGAATAAACCTGTCCGTATTCCTTTAAAACGTAAAAAAAGTATCACCAGGATGTCAGTGGCTGCTGGCTGTCGAAGTCCAGCAGTCTCTCTAGTCCTATCTCACAGAATATGTCTAGCAGTGGGTCCATTCTCTGAAGATTTTCAAGATGACAGATGCTACAGGCATAAGACGGCAGTTCTGTTGTGCTGGCGATACAGGAGATTAGCGTAGGAAGCACATGCCCCTCGATGATGCCTTCTGTCTCTTGGTCTTTAAGCCAGCTGGGCACAGTTTAGATCTAATGATGTGCGTGGAACGGCACAGCGTGCAATTTAATGCACACCGGATTGTTTTCAAATTTCCTATTCTCAGCTAGTATGAGTTGTGTGCTTGGCAAAAGCTGCTTTCTTTATAAAAAAAATATATATATATATTTTTGTTTCAATTTTCAGTTCATGCTTTGTAATTCTTCAAAGGAACGCTACAGTGTTCGGAGTACAAATATCTATTCCTAATATTATAGTGTTCTGCTGCCTGTGTATGTGTCAGGCCCCTGTGAGTTTTTTTTTAAAAAAAGAGAGGGAGAGAAAGATTTACTCAACTTAAAACTGCGCTGGTCCACGTGCTGCCGCTATCGCCTCCTTGGCTGAGATCATCAATCTTGATGTTTTGCGCCAATCCAGTGGCTCCCATATGGAAGCACTCGGAGGCTATTGCGCATGCGTGGCAAATCACCACGTTGTGCCAGATTGCATCCCCTCACAGAGATGCATAGGATGTCTGTACTTCATCCAGGTATTTCCTCTAGTGGCTGTCTAAGTGACAGCCACTTAGACTTATGCAGCATTATAAACCATGGCTTTTCTATGAAAAAGCAGTGTTTACACTGCTGACTCTGCAATGACAGGCTATACTCCCCAGAGCAGCCACATTGAGCTCTATTTGTTCTGATGACTATAGTGTCCATTTAATTGTTTTACTTATCGTTCATGAAGGTTGTTCTTTTGTATGCCATGGGAAACCCTGATTATTCTGGACAGCGTAAATACTTTGCTAACTCTCTGGCCTCCTCGGAGGCCACTGCTCATCAATCTTTCTCAAAAACGTCAGTCTAGGATACATAACCTCAAAGAACTAATCTATATTTCCCTGATGGGGAAGGAAAAATTGAAGGGAAAAAAAGGCTTAATCTCTAAAGCACCAGTCATATTTACAGACGTGTTAAGTTACACAATTTTTTTGCATGACGTTTTTCACACAATCCTCTCAATAACCTGACCAAGTGGATTGATTCTGTCACTTGATGTCAGGAGGACTATTCTAAATTGCATTGCAAGTGAATGTTAAATCAACTATGTACTTTGAGTCAAACGCAAGCGGTTTAGCCCATTCATGAGCAGCACAGTGCTCAGTGTATGGACAGCTTCTTATCCAAGCCCCTGATTTCAATTACTGTCCCTCTCTCCTCCCACCAGGATAGCATTTGTGCATTTATCACAACTTGTTCTGAAGATCTGCCTGTTTTGTCGGACAAAAAGTTTATACAGTTTATAACTGTTCATTTTAAAAACATGATTAAGTGGAAATCTAATGCTGTACAAATTAAATTCAAGTCCCCTGCTCTGTGACTCATGGCTTCCTTCTTGTACATATTTTGGGTTCTATTGGTATTTAACAGGAATAGATGAACTGTGTAGTAGAGTGCCCTCTGCTGGGAGCCTGCTTTATTGTCATCAGCTGCCTGTAGATATGCATTTAACTCTGCAAAGAGTTCAATGGAATAAAGGGGTATGAGTTCCAATTTATCATCTGTCTGTCTATATTGTTTTTGTGAGATAAGAAATACATTATAATGCCATGTGAAATCCCATTGTAAAGAATTTATTGGCACTTTATAGATAATAATGACACAAAAAATGAATCTCCAGTTTCACAAATGTTTTTTTAAGAACTCTTCCTGCACAGCTAACTGCTATACTAAGCAATAAGACCCGGTACTATGGATCCACAGGATATACTGCACTGATAGCTCCGGTACACATAGGATATTCTATCTACCTAGCCACTGGCAATTCTCTACGAGTAACTACTCTATAGTGGACGACAAACCACAATAAACCTGGATGCTTCAAGAGACACACAAGCTCCTTCTTGGTATATCACAAACACACTTTATTCCGCTTCATAGACAGAATATACGACAGTTCTCCAAATAATATCTAAACAACAATCCGTGACCAATCAGGGACATGAGAGGCCCAGGGAAAAATTTAATAAATTATTACAAGGTAAATCTCAACCTTAAAGCCTTACCTTAAAACAGGTAATTGAATTCAGGAACAACAGGTAATGTTATAAAAAAAAAAATAAAAATTAAATGCTGATTAATAGAAGACACGAGGTACAGGTAATATGAGAAAGAGGGGGAAACAATGAATCCACTTAACAGACGCCACTCTGTTTCCCTAATTGTGTACAGGGCATGTGCCTGCACTGCAGGGGGTAAACCATCAACCATTGTCCCTGACTCATTTACTGTGACACAATGTAATCCTGTAGAGTCTGCTTTACCTTTAACCCCTTAAGGACACAACTTCTGGAATAAAAGGGAATCATGACGTAATATTTCCATCATGTGTCCTTAAGGGATTAATATTATGCATTGTACATGAGGCAAAACGAGACAACATAGGTCCGAGATGATGCCCGACCAGCAACAGAACCATAGTTCTGTCACAGTTATGTTTTGGGGTTTTTCATGAAATAATAAATCATGATCATCTCTCATGACCTGGTTATCTCTACAACAAATCTACATGAAAAATTAATTTCAAATGCTTAAAGTTTACACTGTAATTCTTGCTGTGTGCCTTCTTTAAGGTAATGTGTTGTGCTTTGAACTAGAGGATGAAGGGAAAATTAAGTTAATTTGCATGAAATGCCCCGTCAATGCCTTTTCAAAAGGGTAGTTGTCATGTACATCTATTTTTATATAAAAATTAAAACCAAAAAATAGCCATGTATAAAAAGGGTAACATGTACATTGTATTCAGAGTTATTGTAATCTCAAACATGACCGTTTCTCTTAAAGGATCAAATGAGTATTCTTATTTATTATTTTGTATTCCCCTTGTGTCTGAAAAGGTGCTTCTCTATCAGTTTTTCATCTAGTTAATGTAAACGGACATGTTTTTACATGGTGAGAGAAGGGAGCGGAGAAAGATCAGTATGTGTTTTCATGGAAGCCCCCATGTCTTTGTATCTCACTTACACAGACTCTTTATTTGTGTGTTCTATTTCAGCACTCAAGCCACGGGGAGTTAAGGACTTTAAGAAAAGGTTTATCCCCTTACCACTCTGAATCCCAGCTGTCATCGATATCACAGTATCAGGATCCCCTACAAAACGTAAGCAAAGCTCCCTGCGAATCTCAATTACCCAAAACAAGACTGTGCCGAATGCTACAGACGTACGAGTAGGGCTCTGAGACAGGCTTTCATTCTCTTTTGAGGCAAGATGAATATTTATGAACAGTTACAATGGCAAGGAAGTATTGTTAGCTCATAATAAAAGGACCCATGAATATTTACCACCTGAACCCCAAAGTTCACATTATTTGCTGCTGAATTTTCCCGTAAGTCACTCCACTCTCATGTGCAGGAGAACGCTCCTATGAAAGAGCAAACTGTTAACACTTAGGGGCTTATTCACTATACTAGGCAGTGCAAATAATTGACTGGATTTAAATTTGTTGGTCTATTCTGGGTTAAAACAACACTCCATACACCATAACCACTTCAATGCATTGTAGCCGTTATAGTGCCAGAAGTGTCCTCCATTGCAAAGAGTCAAACCCTTTAAAACTGTTTGATTTCTTACTTGGGGTCCACCTGGCGCCTATCTCTGTCTCCACTACTTCTCACAGAGAGCTGGAAGCTGTAGTTCTTAAAGTGCCTGCATTGTTTTTGTATTTCCCTTAATAATTCTCTATTTCCCAGTATAGTAAATAAACCATTTGTAGAGGATAGCTGATTGAGAAGTGTGGGGGCCATGACTCCTATCCCTGGTAAAATTATGTCTGAGAAGGAATAAAATGATTGCCTAATGCTTCGCCTCTTGAAATGTCATGCATGATCTCCAGCAGGTTACTGCACTGGAACTTGGGTCACTGTGTGCTTTTGTGACGAGAGGCCAGAGTAATATTAACATAAAGGAAGATCAGAAAACAACTGTTGTAAAACTACAAGTTTCTTGATACGCTGCCAGGTTTAAAGGGACACTATAGGCAACCAGACCACTTCAGCTCATTGGACAGGGTGCAGTGTCCCAGGTCCCTTAACCCTTTAAAGATAATTATTGTAGTTTTATTAAAAACTGCAATAATTTCCATTGCAGGGTTAATGCCACCTCTAGTGACTGTCTACCAGAGAGCCGCTAGAGGGACATTCGGGTTGCCGCCTAACTGACACAGGATGTCCTTACACAATGCATGGGGACATCCAGCATCACACAAATCCCCATAAGAAAGCATTATATAATGCCGTGCATGTGCATTTAGTCTCCCCCGCCGGCTTACATTGGTGGAAGAATGAACCAGCGCCGTTTTCCTGGCACTATAGTTTCCCAAAGGCTGGAAAAGCATTGTGGAATTTTTAGTTTTCAATTTGGCAACTCGTGTTGCAGAGAGAATGACGCTGACAGGTGACCATATTGATTACATTGTTACAATGACACCTGTCATGGGGTGGGATATATTACGCAGCAAGTGAACAGTCAGTTCTAAAATTCCATTTGTTGGAACCAGGAAAAATGGGCACGCAAAACATCTGAGTGACCTTGACAAGCTCCAAATAGTGATGGATAGACAGCTGGGTCAGAGCATCTCCAAATTGACATATTTTATGGGGTGTTCCTGGTATGCAGTGGTTAGTACCTACCAAAAGTGGTGCAAGGAATGACAACCAGTAAACTTGTGTCAGGGTTATGAGCGACCAAGGATCACTGATGCATGTTTGGGAGCGAAGGCTTGCCTGTTTGGTCTGATCACACAACAAATCTACTGTAACTCAAATTGCTGAAAAACATAATGCTTAGAGGGGTGATAGAAAAGTGCCAGAACACACAGTGCGTTGCAGTTTGCTGACTATGGGGCTGAAGAGTCGCAGACCGGTCAGTGTGTCCATGTCCGTCCAAAAAGCCTTCAGTGGGAATGTGAGCATCAGAACTGGACCATGGAGCAATGGAGGAAGGTTGCCTGGTCTGACAAATCCGTTCTGGGAAACCATGTGTTCTAGCATTCATGTGGATGTTGATTTGGCATGTACCACTTACCTAGAGATTGTTGCAGACCACGTACACCCCTTTGTGGCATTGGTGTTCCCTGATGGCAGTGTTCTCTAGGATAATGCACCCTGCCACACTGCAAAAAATTGTTCAGGCATGGCTTGAGGAACATGACAGTGTTTAGGGTATTACCTTGGCTTCCAACTTTCCCAGATCTCAATCCAATTAAGCATCTGTTTAGTGTGCTGCTAAAAATTGGATCCATATAGGCCCCGCTTATATCCATAATTCAACACATCAAAGCTGTTTTGGCAGCACGGGGGGCATACAAAATATTAGGCATGTGGTTATAATATTTTGGTTGATCACTGTAGATTAAGATACCTCTTAATGAGTATGTTTTGTCTGCAAGTTCATATGCAGTGATATCAATTTCACATCAGAAATGGAGCAGATCACAGCCAATTAGTCTTCCCTTAGCGTTCAATGGGAGCACTATTTGTAACCCTTTTGGTCTTTCTCATGTGAATAAAATGAAAAACGAAAAAAAAAAAGTGGATAAATACTTTGTTCCTTTCAGATGCATTCTTGAACCTTATGTACAGTAAGGATTGTCTCTAAGTCATAATTTGTGTAAAAATATGTGTTAAAGTATTCTTCAAAGTGAAATTTGTGAGCCATCAATTTTATTCCCATCATTATTATTTAGAAAGCCCCACCACTTTCTGCTGTTCTGTACAATACGTACACTAGACATACAAATTAGTTGAACACACAAGTTTAACTTACTCAGAAGTAGTGAAAATACTTTACGAGCTTACAATCTAAAGATATGTCAATGTACACACCTGACTGAAAACCTTTTAGAAGCGATAGATGGAGCAGGAGCAAAGCTTCCATCATTTTATCCTATCTTGATAGGATGGTTCTAATCCCAAAACGTAATAAAACATTTATTAATTTAGTGTCTGTTGCCTACTCAAATTTTCCTTTATAAAATACTCGTTGAGTTCAATAGGCAGGATGTTTTCCTGGTCTCGATCTAAAGCTGCGTTAGACAACAAGACGACCGTGATTTGAAAGTTCGTCTCTCTGTAGTATAAATTTAAATTGTCTCCTGTTGCTTTTCTCAAACATATCGTAATATACAACAAATGTTTTTATTTTTTTTAATTGGACGTATTCTGGAATCTCGGCATAGTAAAGCACAGTTTGAAGTCACCTGTTCTTTCGTTACTTTCCTGACTAAAGACATCAAAGCTTGTTTCCTTTCTAACCCCCACCCCGCCCCAAGCAATCTTAAATTAGGGAAAGCTATTGACTCAACCCAATCATTGTTACATTTCCTGCTTGATCGGCTGATTCTGCGGTTTCTAAAATCCACTTCTATTGATAAAACAAACAGAAAATTGTATATACCATTGTTTGCATCTCAGTATATTTCCACTTCGTATAATCATACAGTGTGATTTTTATCAGCGGTGTTTTTATTTATAAAGAAATTACATGTTAGTAAAATTAATCTATTATACTGAGTTTTCAAAGGAAATTTGGTGCGGTTTTTGTTTACTTCAAATTTTATGTAATAAATTTGAAGTAGTGGTTTGGGGGCAAGCAATATTTGTGCGTACTTGATACTTACGGTTATATTTTACTTCAATTCCTGCTTAGGGAGTTTGAGAATGTTCATTGTCTAGATAGATTCTGATGCTTTTAAAAAGACAAACTCAACTGGCGAACTTTTTGAATGCAATGAAGAAAGGAAAGCTTAAATATACATAAAGCATACAGATCAATCCACACATCTATCTAGTTCTAATGTTTTTTTTTTTTTTCTTTATATTTGAAAATGTAAAGTCCTCCAGGAAAATGAAATGCCTTGCTGTGCAGAAAAGGTAGTAATATCTCCAACACTCCGCTTTTAACTGGGTCAATGCAAGAATAAATGGTTTTTCAATGCATTTCTTTTTGCGTAGTTCAACATTGTCTTCCAGAGGGTTAATGCCAACAACATGACAAAAAATATTTGCTCCAGAGGGGAGCAAGTGGATTTTCACAGAGGGAGTTCATCACGTCTAATTTTTGGCTATTTCTTTGTCTTCGTTTACTCATAATCCTCAATAATGGTAACTACAAAGCCTCTCATCAGTATTCCCCTTCCCTCCCTCTGCTTTGCGCTGTGTTGAAAGATCTGTTTTTTTTTAATCTTATTGGCTCTTTGTGCATTTCTGAACAGATCCTAAATAAATACCCTGACTATGTGGAGCTGAAACAGAATTTCTAAATAGAAGTACGCTATTACATCTACAAATCTTCTTGCTTCCATGTATATAGAAAAGGCAATACACCATCTTTTAAAGTATATCTTTAAATGGAATCACTCATTCTGTAATACTGTAACACTACTCGCTGCTAAATCACGTCACTATTCTATCCTAATTCTCCTTTACCTTTCTGCTGCTTTTGACACTGTTGATCATCAACTGCTTTTTCTTATCCTTAGTAATCTCGGTCTACGAGGTATTGCTCTCTCCTGATGCCCCTTTTACCACTCCCAGCGCTCTTTCAGTGTTTTGCTCTCTGGCTCTGCCTCTTCTCCCCAACCCTGCTCTGTTGGTGTTCCCCAAGGTTCAGTCCTTGGTCCTCTACAGTTCTCGATCTATATTACCTTCTTCGGTAAACTCATCGGCTCTTTTGACTACCAATATCAAATATCCCCACCCCTCTTGACTAACGTGTCTGACTGCTTCTCTGCTATTTTTAACTGGTTGGCTGCTCACTTCCTTAAACTCAACCTGTCAAAAACAGAACTTCTGGTCTTTCCTTCCTCAAGTGTTTCTACTCCCGTTTCTGTCTCCCTCCACGTTAATGGCGCTACCATCAGCTCCACCACACAGGCTTGCTGCCTAGGTGTTCTCTTTGATTTTAATTTCTCCTTTACCCCTCATGTCCAGTCGATCGCCAAATCCTGCCGCTTCATCTCAAAAATACTGTGCACATCCACCCCTACTTAACTCCAGACGTGGCTAAGGTGTTGGTCCATTCCACTTTCCTTTCTCACCTTGACTACTGCAATCTACTTCTCAGTGGTCTTACGTGCTCCCAACTTGCCCCATTACAGTCTTTAATGAATACGGCAGTGAGGCTCATCTTCCTATCCTCCCACGCCTCACCTCTCTGTCAGTCCCTGCATTGGCTTCAAATCTAACTTTGTGCGTATATTAGTGCTTCATCTTGGTCCCTTCAAGGCTGAGGAGTTCCAGGCCTAAACAGTAATAATAGGTTTGTAATCAGGTGCAGACTGGGTTGCCCTAAAGTGGCAGGCTGAGTACCTGGGCCAAATCATGGGACTCTATAGTGTTTAAAACCACTGTGGCAATCACTGTCCCAATTGTTAATCCAGTTCTGGTGTAGCAATGTTATGTTGGTGAATAGTGGACTGTGAGTGCATACCTTTTTCTATTAGGATGGATCCCAAACACTGTGTCCCCACTCCTTAATTTGTATGTGAGTCATTCCTTTACTTGCCTGTATGTCTCTCACAGTGGCTGTATGACAGTGAAAGCATATGTGACTTGTGCCTGCACATACATATTCATAAGGGGTTGAGGACAGAGGTGCATCATATTTTGAGTTTGGCTCAAGTTCATGATGGACACTAGGGACAAACCTATATTCCTAGTGCTATAGTGTCTTGTTGCCCGATGAGTTTTAGGTCGCCCCCATCTTACTGTAAAAACTTGGAGATAAAAAAAGGGGGTTTTACTTAAAAAATAAATGCTAATAATAATATAACCCCGTAAGGACACATGACATGTGGGACATGTCATGATTCCCTTTTATTACAGAAGTTTGGTCCTTAAGGGGTTAAAGGCCGCAACAACTCCCACAAAGTCAACTGGATCTCTCTGCAATGATCAATCTAATGCTTCATTAAGACAAAATGATCTGGATGTCTTTAGTTCTCCTTTAACCATTTAATTTTCTTCTGTCACACTGGGACCAGTTACATTGCTTTAAGAATTTCACCTCTGTCTTTAAGACATCGCAGATAAAAATCAAACTGCAATGGAACAGTCATGACAAGTGACAGTGCTGGATTCCAGTTACCTCGATAATTACTTGATGCCTCTTCTAACAGATATTATTTCCTGATTTGGTCCGAATGATGAAAATGTAGCTTTTGTCCTTACAGTAATTCACCGGGAAAAGACAAGTCTGACTTGTCCTGAAACATGAGTATCTCGTGTTCTGGAGAGGGAGAATACCAATCTCCGCTGTATTTGAGTTAACCATATTGTATTCTGAGTAAGATGTCATCTTGATCAGAATCTATGGACAATTCTTCTGTTTCTGTGTTGGAAGATTTTATAATTCAACTGCAGTTGCACAAAGAATCTTCTATTTCATTTAAAAAAAAAAAAATAAAAAAAAATCCTTTTTTATATTTTTTTTCCACTTCTCTTCTTTTTTAATTATGGCATCTATAGGAGAGTTTTCACAAACTGAGACTTTAGTTATTGAGTGGTTGCTAAAGCATGAGCTCACTCAAATGTAGTTGATAGGTTGAACTTGGGGAATTTTCTTTATTGGGGAGTTTGGCTCACATGGGTCAATATTTCTGTAGAGTCCAGGTTTTTAAGCAGACCCTTAGTTATAGGAAATTAAATCTGCTCTGACTCTTTTTTTGAAAATATGATGCATTAGCAAGCGGGTAGGAAACAAACAGCACTCCAGCTATTCTGGAGAATGACCACCATTTTGTTCCAGTAGGCAAGGTTTGCAGGGCATCATGGTAGTCTTGTCATGCTAAAAGTTTCCTGTTTCTGAGGTTTCAAAGCAAATCTTGTATAAATATACTGATTAGACATACAAGAACATAAGTAACCGTATAAACCATGCATTTGTATGAGCAGAATCTGGGGGAAAAAAGGTATAATTCATGAAATTGTGACTTTGGACCAAAAGTAGGGACTACTATGTTTAGTGAAATCCTTCAAAAACAAGAGCTTAAAAGAACACTGAAAATAGATTGCTCAGGAAGCTTGCCCTTCGGTGGGTCCCTGCTTAGGTCTCATACACGTAGCTCACTTGTGCCATTACAAAGCAAACCTTAGCCACTTGCATACAGTAGATGATGTGTTCGGTGGGAGGGTGAGCTGCCTTGTGTTAAAGGCACCCCTATTGGCACATTGCTGGTGGGAATGCTGGGCGGGATGTGACTGCTCTGGGGATGTTGTGATCTGATGCTGGGATGTGATGTACTTCCAAACAGTTGGTTTGGAGGGTGCAGCGTAAAACACAAAAGTAAATTCTACTGTTTGGGGGGAGACGTGTATCAAAATACATTTCTCTCCTGGGTACCATGTAACCTAGGTATGTCTCTGGTCGCATATCAGACTAATCCCCCACGTACAATGACAATCCAGATCCGAAATGTTAGCAATTCCCCTTTGCATAAGAGATACTCAAGCCCAGATTCTTATAGCGGATACCCCTCTCATCACAGTGAGCGAGGGATCCATGCCTGGATTACCTTTTTGTTTTTGGGAGGCCAAAGTCATGTTTTTGATGAGATAATTGTTGCTTGTAAATGGTGATTGTCTTTCTAATACGATGACTCTTGTGGTGACAGGGCCCAGCTCGTATAACGACAGAGATGTCTTCCGCAACGCCAGCTGGATATATCCCAGTGGTACAGAAACCAGAAGCGGTTGTGCATGCAATGAAGGTATGAGAACAAATATCAATCAGCATGGTTCAGATAACACATTTTAAATCTGTAAAAGGAACACTATAGAGTCTGGAACACAAACCTTTATTCCAGACCCTATAGCAGGAGTAGGCAACCTTTTGCACTCCAGATGCTATGGACTAAATCTCCCAAATGTTCCTGCAGCCATAATGCTGGCAAAGCATCATGGGAGGTGTAGTCCAAAACATCTGCAGTGCCAAAGGTTTCCAATCCCTGCCCTATAGTGTGAAAACCACCGCCAGCGCTGGCCCCACCCCTTATCCGCCTCCTTGCTGACATCAAAATTTATGATTTTTAGCCAATCCAATGCTTTCCCATAGGAAAAGCATTGGATTGGCTGAAATCAACAAGGAGGCAGGATTGGGGGCGAGGCCAAACGCCGGTTTGGCCAATCAGCACCTTCTCATATAGATGCATTGAATCAATGCATCTCTATGAGTAATGTTTACATCGCCATGCAAAGCGTATAGACATTGAATGGCAGTGCTGCACACTCTGCTTCCTGTGCAGCACTGACCCTGGAAGCACCTCTAGTGGCCATTTGAGGAGTGGCCACTAGAGATGTCCCTAGGGGACAATGTAAACATTGCATTTTCTCTGAAAAGACTGTTTACTGCAAAAAGCTGTACTGACTGATGGACTGATTATATTGTAACATAATACTCACCAGAATAAATTTATTTATTTATAATAAGGATCCGTTTTTTTTTTTTTTAGTTTTTATTTTGTTTTTAACTTTTAAAATTTCGGCTTTGACATTTGTATTAATTGAATAAGAAATGAATCGATCTGTTACTGCCAACATGTAGCTCTTCGATTGTGTTTTTTTTAAAAAAATTTTATTTTAATGTTTTATATATTTTATTTTGCTACAAACAACTCCTGTGATGCCTAGTTTGCCATGACCATGTTTTATGCAACTCTTATAAATTTTGATGTAGGAGAAAGCGAGAAGCCTTCAATCTTTAGCAGCTCATTACTTTTTCACTAATTATTGAAGCAAAGAAAATGCACATGTGTAGGGTTGTTGACTAAGCCATGAATTGTCAGGCATTGACCTAGGAATGTAAACAATTAGGATGAAATGGCATATTGGAATAATTTTCTGACTCGACTATGTTTCTGTCATGGCTACTTTGGCGTGAAATTTGTTGGTTCTTTTCTGGCAATTCGTGGTTTAGTGACTGACTCGAAGTGCAGTTTAAAGACTGAAATATGTTTTAATCGTTTTTGAAAACCATCAATTACAGGTGGTCCTCATTTTGCGATCTAGCTGCTTTACGATGGCTTGCACTTACAACCAGCTCTCTCGCGGGGTGGTAAGTGCGAACCGTTGTGGGAATTGGAGGGATTCCCTGCTCTGCTGAGTGAGGAGTGTCTGGGGTCTCTATGGTCTTCTCTGCGTCACACGCTGCACAGAAACAAGGAAGACCATAGACTTGTCAAACACTCTCTGCCCAAAGGTGCATGTGTATGGCTTAAGGATCCTGTCATATGCTAAAGGTAGGGGTGAGTTTTTCTCATTTTTTTTATTATTTTTTTATACATGTACTCCCCTTAAAAATCTTTCTTTTCAATACTTGATGAAAGGGTTAATATATAAAAAAATATTTATAGGGTGACCGATGTCCTTTAAATTACTAGATGGGAAATTGGAGCAAGTTGAAAAATTTAAGCCAAAAATAAAATCAAGATGGAAAAACGGACTTATTATTCCAATGTGCAGCTACTGTATTTTGGCCAAAAAGTAGCAATTCAGTTTCAAATGAATTGTTAACTAGTAAAGAAACCATACAGTGCATGCCCCCGGTAGTGAAATGAAGAAAGACATTTAAAATTCCATTTACTATAGTTGATTTTAATACATTGATATATATTCACCTTTATTTTGTTCTCCCCAGGTTCTTGAAGTCCATGAAAAGTTGGACAGGCCGATACCAGACAGCTATGAGGAAGACCTCAGTGAGAAAGAAAAGGCGATTGTTCGAGAAATGTGTAACGTGAGTGTATATACCATGTGGAATGGTTTAAAGGGACACTCCATTGCCCAAATAACAAAAAAGTCCCTGTGTTAGGATATGTGCCCCAAATGAAAACTTGAATGCATTAAATTATACATTTTTTTTCATTGATGGTATATCTAAAAAGAAGCTTGCATAAGCTGCAGTTACCTGGCCTGGAGCCTTTCCAAGCTCTCCCCTTCTATCCTTTCTGTGGCTGTCCAATCACAGACTCCCAACGCAGCACAAGGAGAAGTCTTCTCAAGTGCTCTAAACAATTGCTGCCTCTTGAGTTTAGCTTTACTGAGCTAAACAACCAGGAAGTGACAGGATGAGTTGTCTGCCTAAACCCAGGGGGTGTAACCAGTATAACTTATAAAAGTGTAAATTTCTACTGAAAGAGAAAGGAAAAAAGGACAGACTCTTCACACATAAAGCATTTCAGCAAGCTAAAGTGCTTTAACCCCTTAAGGACACATGACATGTCATGATTCCCTTTTATTCCAGAAGTTTGGTCCTTAAGGGGTTAAGGGTCCAGAGTGTTCCTTTAATGTTTGGTGTGAACTTCCTGAATCAAAGGGACGTTTTCACTAATAATTTAGTGAATTGAAAAAATTTTCAAAAATTGTAGATTGAAATAGCCACACTGTGATTATAGGGAAATTGGAGATTTTATTTCCCAATCAGTAATTACTGCTTACGTTTTGCAATTCGGTTCTCAATTCACTGCTACTTAGTTTTTACTCTATAAATTCTAAACTGTTTTTCCACCGGGAATTTGATTGCTCTATCAGACAAGTTTCCTGGACTCATCCCTTCTTCTTGCCGATGGGCAATACATGAAAAGAGAATGAATAGAATACATTAGTTCCTGGGTTGAAACCCATTTACAGAAAACAGTTGTTCTAGACCACCTCCATGATTAAGGAATTAATTTCCATTTAACAGCATTTGTATGCTATATGCTGTGGTGCATCACGTTATCATGTGCTGCCTATCCACATAAAGAAGTGATTTGTGTCCCTGAAAAATGGATGATAGAGATGCATTTACTTGGCGGAGTGGCATGATTGCAATCCATGTACTGTGGAACCTCAATGCTTCTCTAAGAGAAGCATCTGACTGGGTAAAATTCACCAAAATGGATGACTTCACAAAGTTCAGCTGCGGAGAGGAGACTAGCCTGTGCTGCAATAAATGTAAGTTTAATAGCTCTCTGATCCTCTTTGTATTTTATTTATTTTTAACAATAATTGAGATGATTGAGCAATGAAAATCCGGCGGCATGATCTATACATCAAAACTGCTTCATTAAGCTAAAGCTGGGTTAGCGCTCAGAGTATCCGTAAAATAAATGTATTTAGAGGTCAGATGGTGTAAAATGTGTATGTATATCTATACATCATACAAGATCCAGCACACTCACTCATTCACTAAACCGCAATTTCAAGTGGTTTTTAATATATATATATATATATATATATAATAAAATATTCACTTCAGAGCTATCTTCGTTCTATTGCACCTCACCCATCTCACCCTTTAACAAACCATCTATATGGCTTACCTGAACGTCGGTTTTGGCACGACACAACCGACTAATTTCATTCTTGGCCTTTGTCCCCCACTACAAATATATATAAATCATTGCTAAACACAAATACACACCAGTCAAGTCATAAGACTTGCTTTTCCCACAGAAATCTCACTTTAACAGTGCTCTCACTACTGCAAGTGATTCTGGGTAGGCATATGCAAATGAGCTCAACAAAGAACCAGTCTTATGGCTTGACTGGTGTGTGCATTTGTGTTTATATATGTGTGTGTGTGTACATTTATCTTGTTCCATATTACATTTTCAGTTGCATAAATCGGTGTAAGTAGATTATGAACTACCTTAAAATGTTCTGCAATAGTTACACCCCCTATTATGAAAGTGTTCTTCTATGGTCATTCGAACTTTGCACAGTTACAACCAGTGGAATGTAGGGTTTAGATTTGGTACTGCTCAGGCACAGATCACTTCCATGCAGCCTGCACAGTCTGGTAATGGAGATTCCACCTCCGTATCAGTCAGTTGGCTTTCATTTGAAACCTATAAAGGTCACAGTGCCTGGAAATTAATTTCTATATTTGTTCTCCGGCAGGTGGTGTGGCGAAAGCTGGGTGACGCCGCGAACTCCAAACCATCCATCAGACAGCATCTTTCAGGAAATCAATTCAAAGGGCCTTTGTAGGATCTCCCTTCCTCCTTGATTTTTAAAGAAATAAACTTAAGGCAGGTGGTGTACACCACAAAAAAGGCAAACTGTGAACAATGTAAATACACAAGCTCACGAACAATGTGTAAGCGGGAGATGGACACCATATACTGTATATATGTTTAGTCATTGGAATATGAGACTTAAATATTTTGTAATGTAGTTCACTCACTGTACAGATCCTGTAGATAAGAATTATTAAGAAAACACTAGCCTGTGAACTAGTCTTAAGATTTTTAAAAATTGTACAAACAATTGTTTATGGATTACAATCTTTGTCTTAACAAAAAGACATATAAATGGTTAAAAAAAAAAAGTGAGAGAGAATAATGCACTGTTTTGCATTTTTTTCATCAAACAAAAAGATTTTTTTTCCCCCCATTTTGCTGGAGAGAAGCTGCATTTAAAAAAAAAATATATATTTTTTTTTTTTTTTGAGGTCCAAAGCTCTTTTTAATCAGCCCCGGTAATCTTCTCCCTTGATCAAGTGCCAGGAAATTCCATAGGTGGTTGGCTCAGTTACTATTTGCTAGACTCGCAGGTGACCGCAACCTTCTGCACTCCAGATGTTGTGGACTATATCTCCCATAATGCTCTTATCGACACACCTGGGCTAGAGTGACAGAATACCTTTGAGCCAATAGAAAGGCCAAGGTATCGGGCTGCTTTAGAAATCGTTTCTTATAACCTTTGAATCTGTACAGATATAAAGTCGAATTTAAACAAATTTTAACCTGAGACCTCTAGCATGCTTGGAATTATAGTGCAATAGCAGCAGAATGTGACTTGTAGTTTCACCCTGTTCTAAAATCTACCTCAGAGTAGAGAATCATTTGACATAAAGAAAAGAGAAAAATTTGTTAATTAGTGATATGTCATTAGTTGCAATATTTAGACCAAAATAACCAAATTAGGGAAACTTGTTCATCGCTCATTTTGCAGTTTGGCTTTTTTTTCCAGTTTAATTTTCACGTTTTTGAATAACATAACCATCAAAGTGGCTTTGATTTAAGCAATAATTGGGTTTATTCACTAAAATGAGATTTGCACAGAATTAACAAGAGGATTTAAAATTCTAGGCCAAAAATTGCAAAGATTCTCCAGCCCACCTAATTATGTCAACCATTTGCTTTCCCCTTGTCAATTCTTACCAAACTCAGGTTAAGTAAATAAAAATATATAACAGGATTGTTGTGCTTCTTGAATGTTTTGAGTTTTTGGACAGAATATTATACACTGGATTATATTGTAATTTGAAGACTTCTTGTAAGCAATTGTCTCCTTCAGGATAGATACAAAATGGCTGATTTAGGCGTTGATTTAATATTTTGGATACGCTTTTCAAATAATTTGATATTTTTGGACAAACTTTTAATTTATATTTCCCAAAAATATCGGAATATAAAATATATATAGAAAGAAAATATACCTTTTTTTTTTTTTAATACTTTCCAAAATAATTTTTAAACGTTGTAGCCAAAAATATAGAATAAATGGAAAACCGTATCCAAAAATCTTAAAATCTGGGCCTTAATTTGCTTTTCATGCAAGAACTTGCATACTCAGATTCCTGGACTAGTAGTTTGTACATAGGTAACAGACCTCTTTCGATATAGTATATCACATTTAGCCAGTATAAAAAAAAATAAAAAAAACCCTGAAATGTCAGTGTGAGAAGCATAAGCAGCATGTAAACTTACTAATATCTCTGGCACTGTATTCATTAAACACAAATAGTGCTAATACAACTCACGCCTGTACGTTGTAAAATATATGTTTTGCTATAAACATATATTTCCACAGAGCCTGGCGGAACATTGATGAATTCAAATAATAGATTTTACAATTTTCTCTTTGCACTTCCTCATTGTTGGCACACAGATCAGGAAGTGCAGTAATACAATGAAGGAAGTTAAGAGTGCACCTGAGAATGTCTTCCCCCAGCGTGCTGAAAAATATTAATGTAAATTAAAATTATTAGGGTAATTTACTTACCTCCAAATTGGACTTGAATTCGTGATTGGACACGTTTCAATTTGTTTATTAATTCAAAGTAACGTGGAAAAAAAAAACCTGAGACTTTTTCGAACTGCACTAAATTAGATGTCTGCAGGAAATAACATGGAAGCTTAAATCCCTTATAAAATATAGAATTCAGCTAAACTAAACAAGTTTTTCCTCACCTTTTTGCACCTTTTTTTCAACTTATTAAAAAAGTAGAGTTTTGTAATTGGTGAATAATACAGTATGTTACATTCTTCCCGATTTTGTATAAAAATGTTTACACACACAGGTTTGTATTTCAAAATCCTCTTTTCGTGTATAGGTATCTTGGCAATAGTTCCCAACTAACACATGTCTTCTGAAATGGCTGTCTGTAATCCAGAAGCCAAGTTTTTCATTGATTTGTACAGATGGAGGATGGATATATATTTTGTAATAATGTTGTAATAGAATATGCAGAATCTGAGAGAAACTATTTTTTTCCTTTGACCCATTATGTTCGAGGATAAAAGAAAATTTGTATATATTTATTTCAAAATGAGGGATGACTTAGACGGGCATTAATTTACCCATGAAAACGTCTTTTTATTTTTAAAAAGGACTTTGTAGTTGCTGACACACATCATTAGCAGATAGTTACATATCAAAGATTTTCTTGTGAAGAGCACACACTGTATAAAGAGGCACAGTCTGTGACATTGGTTAGTTAGAGACAAAGATCAGCCTGTTTCTATGGAATTCACTTTGTTGCCAACTCTGATATCTGATCTTGTGAAACGGTGAGACTGGAAAAGAACACAGTATGCGATGCCCACAACTGCCTCTGTTATAAAAGCTATTGTTTACTTGTATAAAATTTAAATAAATATACTCTTCTACAATAAATGACTACTGTTTTATTACAAAAAAATAACTATCGTTATCGTCATCGATCTCTGTATGTCTTAAAGACAAAACTATTTCACTTTGATGTGTCACTTTCTACAGTCAACAAGGAGATTTGGTTTTGGAGTTTTTAAATTTTGTTTTAAAGCCAACATTACTGGCATAGTGTAGCGCTGGCATTTCATTTAGTTAGAATTAACTGTCGTATCTATTTCTTTTCCCTAACAAAATTATTCAAATGCGGTTTTTATGCTGTATACTTTTTCTTCTATTTTGCACGGTTTAAATAGTAGGAATTTTTTACAGTTTTGGTGTTTTCTTTCTAAAAAGTTTTGAATGTTAAAACAAGCACAAAAACAACTTGGGTTAATGAATTGATTTTGGTTACAGATCGTGCTCCTACAGTCTCACTGCTCCGTTCTTTGCCATTTACTTATTTAGTTATTAGTTTAATTGAATTGATTTGCTTATACAGCCCTAGCCACGTCTCCCATGGCTGAGACTCACACAGCTACCCTACCAACGTCCTAGAGAAGTTCTGATATTTAAAGTTATGTTACTTCACAGTGTGTTTAACTTAGAATTTCATATTTCCTGCTCTGTTTGCCTTTTAAAGCCACAATAGCCTCTTGTGCGTGATTAAAGTTAAATTAATAGAGAAAGAAATTCTAAAGCGGATACGGTGTGCTATAAGATCTGATCGAAAATGTAACAGGTTTGGGGTTTTCATTTTGCAAGGAGGCTTTGTGAGTCATTCAGGGCAGGTGTGACTAGGGTGGAATAAAAAAAAATTCTGTTAATTTAAAGGGAAGAGAATTGAGCAATGAGCATGATCTATACACTAAAACCACTTCACTAAATTAAAGTTGTTTAAAAAGAAATTCTAAATACTAAAACAAAACATGATTGAAAATTGATGTTAAGTCATGCATTCAGTCTTCTTCACCAATCAGAGAATTGTTGGGATTTCAAATTTTTAAGCTTAAATTGCTGAGTTTGAGAATTTATTTCCAGTTTGGTAAATTTGACCTAAATTTTGACACTTACTCGCCCATTCCCAGCAATTCCCTGGTGCCTCCCATATTGTAAGTAGTCAAACATTTTTAGAATGTTTTTACTTCTTACCTGGGTCTGACAGGCACACCTCTCTGCCTCCACTACTTAATATAGAGAGTTGGAAGCATCTAAGTGGGAGCTTCAGTTGGCTCTCCTGCGGTAAGGTCTGAAGTACCAGGCTAACTCATTGGCCGAAAGTCGACTAATCGCTGTCAGCCAATGAGCTGATTCCTGCACCTTTGGCTTAGCTCAGATAGAAAGCTTTCCAGCTCTCCATATGAAGTAGTGGAGCGAACCCAGGTAAGACGTCAAAACTTTTTTTCACACAAGGGGGAGCCAAATGCACTAGAGCGAGTGTTCCTTTAAACCAATTTAGTACAGTTTGACAACTTGCCTGGGTGCCTGCACCACATCTGGTCTCATTATAAATAAGCTTGGCTGAAACCGGAACATCCTCATTCAGGACCATCCCCTGGCTGATGCTCCTAGAAAATTACTAGTAGGGTGTAGATAGTTTAAAATAAATGTGGAACCTATTGAAGATGTAAAAACCAGCAGCAAAAATCAATGTCACGTACTATTCCCAACCCACTATGCCTCTTCCTTGGGCATGAGGACTGCTGACATCTTAGTCGTCACTGCCTCCACTATCACCACGATCACTACTATAAGTAGTATTCAAACTCCATATAGCAACAACATTCAGTTCAATATTCAGGAGGCAATTGGTGTTGTGTTTTTTTTTTGTTTTTTTTTGTATTATATCTTTTTTCCCACTTTTCTTTTCATGCTGCAACAACTTCTTCCACTGGCACTGCGGCTCTTTCTACCACATGTACAGTCAGGTCCATAAATATTGGGACATCGATACAATTCTAATCTTTTTGGCTCTATACACCACCACAATGGATTTTAAACGAAATGAACAAGATGTGCTTTAACTGCAGACTTTCAGCTTTAATTTGAGGGTATTTACATCCAAACCAGGTGAATGGTGTAGGTAGTACAACAGTTTGTATATGTGCCTCAAAATGAAATAATGATAGCTGAAGAGAGCAAAACCAACCCCAAAGCATTTTTTAAGTACATAAATTCTGAAAAAAAAACAAAATGAAAGTGTAGGTACACTAAAAACTGAAACGAAGGTGTTAGTTAATGAAGACCAGGAAAAGGCAGGAATTTTAAATAACTATTTCTCCTCCGTATATATTAAGGAAGAACCCATGGCAATAGATGTGCAAATGATTGCTAAAAACTTGCAGAATAATTGTAATTGGTTAACTCAAGACAAGGTGCTGCAGCAACTAAAAGGTAATATAAACAAAGCTCCAGGGCCTGACGGTATCCATCCACAAGTACTTAAGGAACTAAGTGCTGAAATAAGTGAACCTCTGTTTTTAATCTTTCAAGATTCTTTTCTTTCAGGAAGTGTTCCGGAGGATTGGAGGAAGGCAGATGTGGTTCCTATATTCAAAAAGGGTTCAAAATCCTTGCCTGGAAATTATAGACCTGTGAGCTTAACTTCTGTGGCTGGTAAAATATTTGAAAGGTTATTAAGGGATAATATTCAAGAATTCCTTGAGAGGAACATGGTTATCAGCAAAAATCAGCATGGTTTTATGAAGCACAGGTCATGTCAAACTAAATTGATTGCGTTCTACGAAGAAGTAAGTAGAAGTATAGATCAGGGTGTTGCCGTGGATGTGATCTATTTGGATTTTGCCAAGGCATTTGATACAGTTCCACACAATAGATTAGTGTTCAAACTCAAGGAAATCGGTCTAGATGAAAATGCTTGTTCTTGGGTAGAACATTGGCTTAAAAACAGAGTACAAAGAGTTGTCATTAATGGTAAATTTTCAAGCTGGACAGAGGTGGCAAGTGGTGTCCCTCAGGGGTCTGTTCTGGGACCCCTTCTATTTAACATGTTTATAAATGATCTTGAAGACCGCATTGAAAGTCATGTTTCAGTGTTTGCAGATGACACAAAACTTTGTAAAACAATACAATGTGAGCAAGATATTACTTTGCTGCAGAGGGATTTAGATAGACTGGGGGACTGGGCACTCAAATGGCAGATGAAATTTAATGTTGAAAAATGCAAAGTTATGCACTTCGGCGTAAAGAATACACAAGCAACGTATACCCTTAATGGAAGCGAATTAGGGATAACAACACATGAAAAGGACTTGGGAATTGTTATAGACAACAAACTATGCAACAATGTGCAATGTCAATCAGCAGTGGCCAAGGCCAGTAAGGTATTGTCATGCATGAAAAAGGGCATTCATTCTCGGGACAAGAATATAATTTTGCCTCTTTATAAATCACTGGTAAGACCCCATATTGAATATGCTGTGCAATTTTGGGCACCTGTTCTAAAGAAGGATATTATGGCACTAGAAAAAGTGCAGAGGCGGGCTACAAAATTAATAAAAGGAATGGAACATATCGGCTATGAAGAAAGGTTAACAAATTTAAACCTATTTAGTTTAGAAAAACGTCGCCTGAGAGGGGATATGATAACATTATACAAATATATTCGGGGCCAATACAAACCATTGTGTGGAAATCTATTCACAAACCGGACTTTACATAGGACACGAGGCCATGCGTTTAGACTGGAAGAAAGAAGATTTCGTCTAAGGCAAAGGAAAGGTTTTTTTACTGTAAGAACAATCAGGATGTGGAATTCTCTGCCTGAAGAAGTGGTTTTATCAGAGTCCATACAGATGTTCAAACTGCTACTAGATGCATACTTGCAAGAACAGAATATTCAAGGATATAATCTTTCAATGTAGGGTAATAACTGCTTGATCCAAGGACAAATCTGACTGCCATTCTGGGGTCAAGAAGGAATTTGTTTCCTAGCTTGTTGCAAAATTGTGCTTCAAACTGGGTTTTTTTGCCTTCTTTTGGATCAACAGCAAAAAACAAATGTGAGGTAGGCTGAACTTGATGGACGCAAGTCTCTTTTCAGCTATGTAATTATGTAACTATGCCTCCCACTTTTTAAGGAGCCAAATGTAATGGGACCGATTAACAGTCATAAATCAAACTTTCACTTTTTAATACATGGTTGCAAATCCTTTGCAGTCAATTACAGCCTGAAGTCTGGAATGCATAGACATCACCAGACGCTGGGTTTCATCCCTGGTTATGCTCTGACAGGCCTCTACTGCAACTGTCTTCAGTTCCTGCTTGTTCTTGGGGCATTTTCCCTTCAGTTTTGTCTTCATCAAGTGAAATGCATGCTCAATCTGATTCAGGTCAGGTGATTGACTTGGCCATTGCATAACATTCCATTTCTTTCCCTTAAACTCTTTGGTTGCTTTTGCAGTATGCTTCGGGTCATTTTCCATCTGCTCTGTGAAGCGCCGTCCAATGAGTTCTGAAGCATTTGGCTGAATATGAGCATATAATATTGCCCAAAACACTTCAGAATTCATCCTGCTGCTTTTGTCAGCAGTCACATTATCAATAAATACAAGAGAACCAGTTCCATTGGCAGCCATACATGCCCACGCCATGACACTACCACCACCATGCTTCACTGATGAGGTGGTATGCTTTGGATCATGAGCAGTTCCTTTCCTTCTCCATACTCTTATCTTCCCATCACTCTGGTACAAGTTGATCTTGGTCTCATTTGTTCATAGGATGTTGTTCCAGAACTGTGAAGGCTTTTTTTAGATGTTGTTTGGCAAACTCTAATTTGGCCTTCCTGTTTTTGAGGCTTTTTGAGACCTTGTAGTGAACCCTCTGTATTCACTCTGGTGAAGTCTTCTCTTGATTGTTGACTTTGACACACATACACCTACCTCCTGGAGAGTGTTCTTGATCTGGCCAACTGTTGTGAAGGGTGTTTTCTTCACCAGGGAAAGAATTCTTCGGTCATCCACCACAGTTGTTTTCCGTGGTCTTCCGGGTCTTTTGGTGTTGCT